AAAAAAAAAAAAAATCAAGTTATTGAGTGTAAACTGTTAAGGTCTCCTTAGGGTTAAAGAAACTGAAGAAAAAGGAAAAACAAAAAATATATATATATATATACGAAGCTGAACAGCAGAAAAACACAAGCGAAAAGCAAAGCACTAATCATGATTGTGTGTAAACGTAAAATTAAAACCTTCCTTCTATTCCTGTGCTCCAACCAACACACCAACACACCCCCCCCTTTTTAATCACACAGCCAGCCGACTTATCCGCTTCGCGTCAAAGTGTAAATTGTTCGGTGTGATCTTAACCTTACACGATACCTCGAAAGGAACAAAAAAAAAAAAAAAAAAANAAAAAAAAAAAAAAGAAAAAAAAGGATACCTTTTTTTTTTCTTTTTTTCTTTTTTCTAAAACATTTGCCAAGCTACTACACCAAAAGAAAGGGAAGGATATTTCTCTCGACACTCGTTTCCCAATCTATCGCCTTCTTTTCCTCGTTTCTCTTCCCCTTCGCCTTTAAGGTCTCTTCCCCTCTCCCTCTCCTTTTCCTCCACCTATCCCCTTCCCCTCGTCCCTCTTGCCTTGCCCCCAACTTTACTTCTGTCCCACCTGCTCCCTCCTAACCCTTACCCATACTTTAATCGAATCCTCTTCACCGTTTCCAACCCCCTGCAAAATCCAGTTCACTCTGGGTAACAAAAGAGTACTACTACTACTATTATTACTACTACTACTCTCCCGATATATCCCCTTTATCGAAAGATTTATCGTTAGATGTGAAAAATGAATATTTATCGTACGGATGATTGTAAAACGTGCGTAAAAATTATGATTGTCGTTAAAATTAAAATTTACGGTTATTAAAAAAAGAAAAAAAAAAAAGAAAAAAGTTGTATACGTCGCGACGATTCTGCGAACGCGTTCTCTAAGCCCAGGAGCCGATCCGCTCGTCGTCGTCGATCCACTCGTTCCCGCGAACGTTTTCTTCTCTTTTTTCCTTTTTTTTTTTTTTTTTTTTTTTTCGCCACGACTCGATGAAGAAAACGAGACATCGATTCGTTTATCGTCCGCGAAATCGGTTATGGATCGGTTACGGATTATTTCATCGATGCCTCGATTCAAAACTTTTTTTTTTTTTTTTTACTCCCTCCCCCCCCTATCATTCGATTAAATATTCCATAAGAAGGAATATGAAATTTGACGCGAGACGAATCTCATTCTCGTCCTTCGAGGCACGATCTACACGATCTAACGAACAAAATAAATGAATGAATAAAGAGAGAAAAAGAAAGTTTTTTTTTTCTTTCTTTTTTTTTTTTTTTTTTTTTTTTTATATACTTTCGACGCAACGCACAATAACGCTCTCGAGAACTCATCGCGTTATCACCGATACGCAGACGCGCGAAAATAATGAAAAAAAGTAACGGCGGGCGCGTCATCTTGGATCGGACGGGATCCCGGCCGGGCAAAAGAGGGTTCGAGAGAATGAGGATAGGGGAAATTTCTGGCTCGACGACGACGACGACGACGACGACGACGACAGCTACGACGGCTCCTGCACAAATTAGATACGCGCGAGAGGTATGAGCCTCGTTCATCGACGAACGGGACGATTGAATCGCGACAATTGGGACGATCGGCGCTAACGGCGTAATTAACGAGGCTGCCGTATAATGATTTCCCAGTGACACAGTCGCGTCAACGTGTCTGCCACGGCGATTTCGTTTAACGAGACTGAATGAAATTCGTTTTCGTCGGAGATTTTTTTCTCTCCGAGCAACGATTGGTAAAAAAATACGCCGTTTTTCTAAAAAAAAAAAACAAAGAAAAAAAAACAAAAGAAAAGAAGGAAGGAAGGAAGGAAGGAAGGAAGGAAGGAAGGAAGAAAAAGATCGTTATCTATTTTTGCGGACAATTATATTAATATTCGCTGGTGCGTAAAAGTAATTGGACAACGTTCTGTGATCTTTTCAAAACATCATCGGCGCCCGGACAAATTTTTTTCTTTTGTCCGTTTTTCGATAGAGCCGAGAAAAACTTTCGAAACTTTCGTTTCTGAACGGAAAAGGAGTAGGGTGGATAACGAGGTCGCATAGATTAGGGCAGATATCGTTGCCAACGCGGCTGTAGGAAAGCGAATAGAAGCGTCGATTTATTTGTTTTATTTTCTTTTTTTTTTTTTTTTTTTTTTTCTCTTCGAGGAAGACGGCGGGATAAAAGAGCGTGTCGAGATATCGAGAAGAATACACGAAGATGGAATATCCTTAGATGTTGTTTCGCGTTGATCGGTGATCGTGTTTGAATTTTGCATTGGAAAAATTGAAAAGGGTAAGAATCAAATTCGTCGAAGTGAATTAATCCCGAGGGAATAATTTTTTCGCGCTCGTAGATTTCCGGCCGTCTCACTCCACCGTCGCGGACGATACGCTGAAACGAAAATATCCGGCGAGAGACGGATTATTGGTCGAGGAAGGGAAGGAGAAAAAAAAAAAAAAAAAAAAAAAAAAGAAAAAGAAAAAAACGGGGGAAGAAAAAGAAATCTTTAAGAATTAAAAGAAGATATATTATATTAAAATATCTGTGATGTAAAAAGTAACAAAATTTTGATGTATATTTTTCACAAATTATTGTAACCAGCTAGTGTATATGTGTAAGATTACGGATATAAAAGAAGAAAAAAAAAAAAAAAAAAAGAAAGAAACAAATACTATTGTAATTACGGTGTGTGGAGACAAAAATGACGGAGTAAGAGAGAGCGGAATTTGAAAACGCCAACAAAACAAAAAGAAAAAAAGAAAAAAAAAAGAAAAAAAAAACAAAACAAAGGAAAGGAAAACCGAAACAAAATATTGAGGGAGAAGCGAGATCGCGAGATTATATACGTTTATCCACACCGGTGGTCAGACGGGACCAAGATGGCGGGCATTGCTCGGAAAGTCGGGTCCAAAGATTCTCGTTTTTTCAAAGCTTTTTGCTCCATTTCGTTTAAGGTCGCGATATATTTCCTTATTACTTATTCTGGGGAACGGAACATTCGACCATCGAATCCTTCTCATTCTCATTGAAACGCGTCGAGAAAGGGCGGGAAAGATGAGAAGGGGAGAATTTTGAGATAAATTTTTCGCAATATAAATTCTTCATCGTTGAAATTGAATCATTTTTATAAATCGTTTCTTCGTTGATACGTCTGTCTCGTAAAAAAAAAAAAAAAAAAAAAAAAAAATCGGATGCTTCTCCATCAAAAACTGGAAGATTTGGTCCGATTGGCCCTGAAACGGCTCAATGTCAGCTACCTCACAGAGTATCGTCACGTTTGGTATGGTTTGCGCAGGGGATGTTCGCGTGTTTCGGTTTCCGAAGCGAAATTGGATGGCTGCCCAATCAATCTCGATTCGTTTCTTTATCAACACGATCGTTCCTTTTAAAAATTATATATCTGTGGATCAAAATGCGGAGAAAAAACAAAACAAAATTTCATTTCGCCTCGACGATTAAGTAGAAGAACGGAATTTTGAACGGAACAATCGATCGACCATTGGCCAATCAGTTTCTTCGAACGGTAAACGCGCGAACTTCATTGGAGTGGGGGTCGTGTGTAGAAATGGTCTAAACAGTTCCAAATTGTGCCTAAGTTTCGACGTTACGTTTTTACGACTCGCAACAGAACGAACGACGAATGTAATAACCGTAGCAACAAACTGAAGTTTTTTAGTTCGATGGTGGGGTTGTTCCAAAAATAATAATAAAAAAAAAAAACAAAAGAAAGGAGGCAGTGAACGGGATAGAGGCAAAAAAAAAAAAAAAGAAAGGAAAAAAAAAATAAAAAAAAATAAAAGAAGAAGCGATGGACGACTTTTAAGCTAAATTTTTAAAAAAAAAGTATATTACCTCCGTATATACGTTCCAGGGCCGTCCGGCCGCCATCTTGCGTTCATTTTTACGTTCCGTTTTGTCGAATAAGTGCAATTAGGTACACTGACATCAAACACGAACAACACAGACACGCAACTTCTCAACTCTTCGACACGCGCATTCACATACACATTCCACACTTACTTACACGCATACACACGCATGACAACAGACGTCGAAGAAAAATGATGAAAACGAACTGTTACGCGCTAGGTTACCGTGTTTTTAAATTCTATTTTCAATTCACGCATTCTCGAATGTTAGGATTTTCGTGATCAACGAAGAGCTGGCCTGTCGTTCACATAAGGATACACGTACACGTATACATACACACGTACAGAAACACACGAACACTTAATTCACACATACTCGCATACACTGCAAATAGCAGCCGACGTCGATTCGACGACAAAGTATGATATACGCCACTTTCAGTATCTTCGAACGCTCGTGCTTTTCTTCGTTCAATTTGGTTCTAGCACGATTATTCGTACGGTGACGTTTTTTTCGTACAAAAATTTAACGATCGCTCGTATTTGGATCAACGGGCATTTATTCGCGTTTTTCAACCGCGAAAGAAAAGAAAACGAAGGAACGAGGCACGCGCCCGATCGAGGATCGGAAAGGGGCGGAAGAAGAGAGTGGAAGAAATTACCGCCTGAACCAACGTATAGAAACCGAGATGGTACGGTCCGTCAACGGTCGAAAACTTGGTACCTTTCTAATTGGCTTTAATGATAAGCTCGTTGATAATTCGTAGGCTCTAGTCATGCAATGACTCTAAAAAAAAAAAAAAAAAAAAAAAGACGAGAAGTCGTCCCCCTCCCCCCGAGAAGCGATAGCGGGCGATCTTCATCGTAAATTCGTATACGTTAAAACCTGACGACGCGACGCGACAAGAAGAAGAAACTTTTACCGATTTGTGTTCAATGGGCGAACAAGTCGACAAGGCGTCGATTCGACGTCCGGCTCTGTACACCGATATATAATTATATATAGAAACTTCTAACGCGTACGCGCGTTGAGCCGCGCGCACGCGCGATCGCGCGCGCGACCCACGCGCAAGGGAAGGAATCTAAATAGATAGGTAGATAGATATACGAGAAAAAAGAAGAAGAAGAAGAAGAAGAAAAAGAAGAGAAAGAGAAAGAAAAAGAAAAGGGAAGAAAAATCGGAATCGATTTGAAAGCGCGAGAATGAGGAAAGAAAGAGGGAAAGCCAGTGCTCGACCACGCCTCCGACAACAGTCCGAATCGCGGATTCTCCTCGTATTGCGACTGACAGCGATTTCTTTGCAGAGCTCTCTCGCGACAATTGCGGAAACGAACGAGCTACGCGAAATCATCCGTTCTCGCTGCCTATTGGAAGAAAATTCTTTTTTTCATTATCGGGCACGCGATTCGTGTGCTCTTCGATTCGGGACACCCGCGGAAAGACAGCTGCGATCGGTCGGTACTCGGTCGGCATAGACGCTCGTACTGCTTATCGACGCATTTTGATTAAACCTTTTGTCGAATATATTTTTCGTGTATCGTTGCGCGAGTCGGCGATTATTCGATCGTCGGATCGATCAATCGGGATAAAATTAAAATCGGTTCGGTTGATGAAATTCGATGTTTCGGTGAATCTAAAAAATAGAGAGAGGGAGAGAAAGAAAATAAATAAACGTATATAGAGCGATGTAAAGAAAGACGCGCGATCGCTGCTGCATATATCCGTATATCAACGGGCGTCAACGGGTGAAAACGGGAGTTCGTGAAATAAATATATTATTCGTCCATCAAAAGGTGATGTATTCTTTAAAGTACAATTACTTCTTGTTCCATATATACGAATCGAAATTACTTTCATGTTCCTATTTCGAAGTTTAAGGGGAGCGAACTGAGTCGAGTCTTGTTTGCGGCTAGAGCGATGCGTCCTCGTCGGTCGCGGATCTCATATTTCCGCGAAGGTGGCGGGCCAGATCGGAGGCGGTCGGTCACAACACTGACTATGCCTAGAAAACTTTTTCGACTAGTAGGCGTTAGGAAAACAAAAAATGGCGCCGGTACTACAGTTACAGTTAGCACCGGTAGTACTCGTAGTTTGGCGCTTTAGTTGTTTGTATATCGCGTTCTTTCGTTCCTTTTCGTTTTTTTTTTTTTTTTTTTTTTTTTTTCTTTTTTTTATATATCATCATCGTCACTGTGTAAGCCCGACCTCGCCGCGCAAAAATCCGCGTCAAGGCGGGAAATCGGGGATGGACCGGGGTTGAACGCGAGGGAATGGGATGAGCCGCGCGAAACAAAGCCAATCTTTTCATTCGTATGTATCATGCACGTAACGAGTAATTATATATCGTATCATTGGGAAGATTAGCGTGGCGCCATATCGAAACGATTGGTTAAAATCGGCTGAAATGACGAACGAATCGGAACTTACGGTGGTTACTTACCTCGATGTTTCAATCAAACCTGTTTGTACCAAAATCACACAGCGCAGTGAAATCACACACCGCACCGGAAATTCAAAGTACGACCAACTAGTTACGGACCAAGTACGCTGAACTGCCGGTGAATTAATCAAAAGACACGTCCGTGTGGCGACGCGTTACGTATACGAGAGACTTTTTCGAGAGATGTTCACCGTGTGTTCTCGTTCTTTGTTTCATTCCCGAACCAGGATTCCGGGGTTCTTCCAATCGTTCCCCACCTTGGCGAGAATACGTAAACGCGTCCCGCCGAAATTCAACGAGGCGAGGCCGGGCACGTTCCGATGCGCTACAAAGTTTTTAAAAGTTTAAAAGAAAAATACGCGAGAGCGAAAGAGATAAATTAAGGACAAGAAGAATTAAGCGAAAAAAAGATAAAACAAAACAAAACAAAAAAAAAAAAAAAAAAGAGGAAAAACTAAGAATCCAAATCGGATCTAAATCCCCCCACGCTCCGATCCCTCCGCACCGAAATCCACCATTTTTTGGACATGATCGTCATATCCATCCACACGAGCAAACCCCTCCCCCTCCCTCCGGACAACCTATGGCAAACGCAATTTGAAAAAAAAAAAAAAATTCACCTTGCATTTTCCGACCACACACGCACACTCAGTGACACGCTAAAAACGAACACCAGAAGTTAATAACAAATAATACACGCAGTCTGCTTTCTACATACAGCTACAACAATATTGCAGCCTCCCGATACCAGTCGTCTCCTTACAGTTTAAAGCGGGGTGCGTTCGTGACAGACGCCATTTCGGCCCCGATTATCTCGTCGATCGCCTTCCTTTCCTTTTATCTCGCCTCGGGAACGCGCCTCGACGATCTGTCGCGTGGTTCGATCGAGATCGAAATCGCGATTTTTTACGTATCGAACACAATAATAACATACCTAGGCACAAGGTGGAGAAAGGTGATCGATTCGAAAGGGGGGAAGCTCGACACGAACGAAGACGACACCGCGTTCCGCTCGGGGCCGGTGGCGTCGCAAAACGTCCGATCGTTTCCCTGCGCGTGCCTACGGGTTGCATACTCACCCGGGCACTTGTGAACAATGCAACCGGCAACACATACAAGCAGCAACAATAGACATCTCTCTCTGTCTGAGCAGGGCACGTCGCGATCGCTCCACGCGGCCTCTCGCTGCGATCGCCGTGCGTCCAAGTTATACAAATATACAAGCCACTAAAAAAAAAAAAAATCTATACATCTCATATTATATCCAACAGTGATCAACGCAAACGCAGATGCCACGAAGAGCAATGCAAACAAAAAAATAAAATAAAATAAAATAAAATAAAATAAAATAAATAATAAATAAATAAAAATAAAAATAAAAATAAAAATAAGCAAAGGATCGCCCGGAGCCCGCATCGTCGCGATGCAATCACGCCTTGGTTGAATCGTTTTTCTCCGATTCGGCTCGTCTCGTTTTCCACGATCGCCGGATTCGAGGAACGATCGATGCGCGTGGCTTTAGACGATCGGGATCGGGTGAAAGTCCCCTTCAAATCAAAACCCGCAGTCAGCACAGAAATATAAACGATAAGTGCAGAGGAAACAAACTACTATAGTAAACAAAAAAAAAAAAAAAAGGTACATATTATATATATTATATATATAAATATATATATATATATTATTAATTATTATTATTAATTATTATTAAACATACATAAAAGAATATTATTAACAACACAAAGAAGTACTATATTACTACTATTATTAATTATTATGATTCTTATTATAAATTTAATGAAAACAATGATAACATTCCAACCGTCAATGTGCCACACGACTTTTTATATGCTCTTAAAGAAAAAAAAAAAATAAATAAATAAATAAAAAAAAAAAAAAATAAAAAAAAAAATAAAAAATATTAGAGGGAACGCGAGATTTTGCGATAATCGTCGTTGGTGATCATCGGAAAAGCAGCGCGGAGGGAAAACGTTTTTCGTATCGTTGACTGAGAACCGCGTGTAAAGCGAGGCTGTGAAGAAAGATCGGGACCCTTCTTCGAGCGTACCCTTCTCGATTAAAAAGAAACGATCGTTACGGATCAAAGAGAAAATAAGGAAAGGTGCACACATTGTGAGGGGCGAAAACATTGTCGCCAATTTTCCCCTACGATTAAATAATAATAATAATCGAGTGCTCTCTACACGGTGAAGCTTCGAAGATGGCGCGACGCGCCTTCGTCTCGTCGTTTCCCCATTTTCAAAAAAAAAAAAAAAAAAAAAAGAAAAAAAAAGCAAAAAAAAAGAAAAAAAAGAAAGAAAGAAAGAAAGATAAAATTATCCTCGAGACGAAACGTCGACGCGAAAACGAGCCGTCTTGCCGTCTATTTCCGTATATTTCCTGGTCGACGACGGGATCGATCCTTAAATAGGGCATACTTAATCGTTTCGACGAATTCCCCCCCCCCCTCTCGATTACGACGATTGTCGTCGTATAACGAAGCGCTTGTTCCGCCTAGCTCTATACTATATATATATATATATACATACATACATATATATATATATATATATATATATATACACATGCTAACGACCAGACTCATTGATTTAATTACGCGTATTAATTGCTGTTACGTTTGTTCATTATTATTATTAATATTATTATCGATATTTTTATTAACATTGATATAGTTACATTATTATTTTTTATTACCGCTATTTTTTAATAAGTAGAATATATACTCTCAGAATATATTACTATTATTATTATTATTATTATTATTATTATTATTATTATTATTATTATTATTACTATTATTATGATTATTATTATTATTAGATATTAATTATTGATACCGTTGTTAGAAGGCGTCTGTGAATTCGACGGGCATGCGTTCGCGAACGAATAACAGACACGCACGCATACGTCTATATGTTATACCATTATCATTATAAATATTATCTTCTATTATTAGTACAGTTTAGAATTACATTGCAAGAATACTAGTTAGTCCGCGAGCCTTTCAAAAATTTACATCACTCGTAAATATAGGAATGCATATACATATTAGCATGTATAAGGATCGTAGGTGGGCGTGTCTGCGTTAACGCGAATATAATCGTGCGTTTGTTAATAGATTAGTTTACGTGGTACTTATCATTAATCATCCTCACCTATCTCATTATCGTTATCATCGAATCATCTGTATCGTTATCATTGTCCTCCTTACATATCGTTTCCCGGATCATCGTTACTTTTACTATTATTATTATTATTATTATTATTATTATTATTATTATTATTATTATTATTATTATTATCCTCATCGTCGTCATTATTCATCATGATCGTTACGTATTCGTTAAGATTATCGATTAGTTGTTTCAATTTTAAAAAAAGAAAAAAAAAAAACACGCACGAAATACGATCAATTTCTTAAGCATACGTACGTTCATCTTCTTTTTCTTTTCTTTTTTTTTTTTTTTTTTTTTTACACATTCTAACATGTTTTTTTTTTTTTTATATTTTTAAAATAACGCGAGGCCCACGAGACAAACCCAAGTGCAATCTTTTATTTCTTGTTACTTTTGTCGTAGATTACTTTCCCGTTTCTTATCCCGACTCCGGCCCGTGAACACCTCCCATTCGTTGTTAGTTTCTTCTACGAATCTAAGCTTTTCTTACGTAGCTCTATCGAGTTTCTTCTCTCCTCGCGCCTCTCTCTCCCCTTCCCCTCTTCTTTTCGTTCAAAGTACTTATAGTTCTCTCGCGAACAGACAGAGGAAACGGTCGAGTAATACGTTCATACCTGGAAAAGGGGAAACCTTCAAATACCACCGATTTTATTTCAAGCTTCGTTATCGATTGTTCTTATTTGTCTTTTTTCTTTTGATCGCTTCAATCTTCTCCTCTACTACTGTTTCTTTTTTTTTTTCCACAAATTCCTCGGCGCGCGTCGATCAAAGTCGAAGAAAAAAAAAAAAGAAGGAAAATAACGTTCGATCGATCATTCTCTCCAGTCGTTTCGGTCATTCCACGATCATTCCGTATTTGTTTTTAAAAAAATTTTTTTTTCTACTCAGCCTGTGTTTCAACGGGCACAGACGATCCACTGGAAGAACGATGGATGTTCGAACGATCTTTCGATTCGCGAATGCGCGATATATCTCGCATATATCCGATTCTTATCGAGGATAAACGAAACACGTGAAAAACGTGATCGATGCTGCGCGCGCCGTTTCCTTTTTTCGAAAATCTCGATAACTTTCCCTTATTTTCTCTTTCGTTGGACCGATAATATAATTAGTGTTAGTGTTTACCATCGGCAAACAGGGCATTCACATCGTATATCGAATCGAGAAGTTGAACACGAGTGACGAGGAGTTTAACGAGTGAGTCGCGTCGAGAGGCGAAGATTAAACACATTCCGCGGAAGATCTTCGTTCCGCAGCTCTTCTCTTTTATATTATAATAATAATAATAATAATAATAATAATAATAATAATATTAATAATAATAATAATATGTCCGATATGTGGACGTTCGCGCGTCTCTTCGCGCTGCTTTGCCACGTCGAAGGCGCGATCGTTTAAACAACTTGTATAATCTAATTTGGGCATAAAATCGCGCGAACACCGGCACGCGGTGTTTGCCCGTGCGTCGAATAGAGATCAACCTTGTACATACCGCGTATAGACATTATGCATCACTTTCTGTAAAACTGACACGTACACACGTACACATCAAATCACCACAATGCTGCGATTACGACACGATTACTAACCTTACCGGTACAATACTGTTTTTCCTTCATCGAGTTTTCAACGATTACGATGATATTTTCTTTAAAAAAAAAAAAAATTCATCGAATCGCGAAACAAGATCTTTTCAGCCATATTCTTTTTCGTCTAAGTTTGCTCGATACTCGTTTGATGCGATAGATCGAACGAATATCGAATAACGTTTGACGAGAACGCCCTCTTTCTTCTTTTAGATGGAAACTCGGGCAAAAATCGAAGAAGAAAAAGAAAAAAAAGATAAATATAATTGCAACAGTCCCCTGGTCCCTAAGCACTCGTTGAACACTCGTCTAATCGCAACAGAGCCAGTCTTAAATGTCTTGTAAAGTAACAAAAAAAAGCGGAGCAAAACCGTGGACGCTTTCGCGCAGGCGTATTTCGGCGTGGCGTATCTATCGTTTAATCTCGCCTGCCGAAAGCTTATATTTCTTAGGTAGCCCTTGTGTATAGATGATGCTAAGTTTCCAGTGTATCGATATGTACGGTGTATTTCCGACGCGCAAGTTCGATCGGTTCGATCGATCGACCATCGACATAACCCCCCCACCCCCCACCCCACAGAACGTAGCCGATATTAAGTTTTCATTTATATATATATCTATCTTTCTCTCTCTCCTTTCTCTCACCTCGCCCCTTTATATCGTAATCGCTCGTATCAAGTACAATGCAAGTGTAACAGATACACATTCACGGATAAACTTTTTTGCACGCAGTAAGAATACATATATATATATATATATAAAAAAAAAAAATGAAATAATCTTCTTCGTACCTTCTCGCAGTCGGATCCGAGTCTGATCGCGAATCTTCTTATACATTCTACTCTTGTATCCCTGCCCTTGTCCGTTAGCCCTACCTCTCTCCTTATTTTTCAACTCCTGTTTCGTTGAGCGGCATATCTCGTAGAGTTTAAGAGAACTTTGTACGGGCCGAGGCGTGCCTATGGTCCGGTATTACCCGCGATTCTCCGCGATTCTCTGCGGTTTTGATCGTTCGAGAAAAAACGGCGAGTCTCGAAGAAGCGGGCGATCGATGCATTCCCGCGAGTAGCTAGGCGCTACGGTTAGGTATACGTCGTCGAAATCTGGACCCCAGGTTGTCCTCGCCTCTTATAGACGTAACACTTTCGCGTAAGCTCGTAACCAGAAAGATCATATATAAAGAAATTGACGGTACACGCATACGAATACACGTATACACGAAGGAAAAGGTATACACGAAGTACATTGAAGTTACGAGAAACGTCTGGCAACACACGACACACCGATGCAGTTACGCGTGAAATAAAACGGATATACATGTATACACGGGCATATAACGTGCACATACACTTACATTCATACACATGACACGGAGACAAGTACCCACACAGACGTGCGCGCGCATATACGTTTCGTAACGAAGTATACAGTCTTAGCGCAGTGTTTCATATAGTTAGGTAGGAAACGTCGAGAGAATATTTTTTATATTCCACATGGATTTTACAGTTATATATTATCGTTTCGTATCGAAAGGGAGGAGTTTAAAAAAGGCGCGTCCAAAGCGTTACATAGATTATATATTATAAATACGAGACCTCTCGATATACGTGTCGCCATTTATTGTTTACACCGCGATGATTATATATCGATTATCGGTCATTCTTATAGGCGGTAGGCGCTGTCGTTTATATATATATACATATATATATATATATATACACACACACACATATAAATATATCTATATATATATATATAGATTAATATTAAAGCGGCGCGCAGAGGTCACGCGCGCGTTTACGCGGTGTGTATATGCGCCGCTAATTAATCTCGTTGACGATTATTAATAATCGCGAATCCGCTAGGAGCAATCGAGCAAACGGCGTCGCGTTCGATCGTAACTCTGGGGAGGGAGGAGGGCCCTTTGAGTTCGTCCACGGTAACCCTACGTCCACGTGCGAGCGAAATCACCGGCCCTTCATTCGCTATACTAGGCAGCCATTCTCTATTTCACTTTTAAAGGTCGATCGCTCGTGCAATTTTTTTTTCGTTTCGAACACTTTTCCTTTTCACCCGTTTCGCGATGCAGGAGAGCTCGTTGGAGGAATGTAAGCGGGATCGATTCATTCAGACGATACACACAACATAACCTGTATCTTTTACGATACACACGTACACGTATACATAAACGAATACATACACGAATACATACACATGCTCGCGACAAATACACGGTACGGTTTATTATTTGTAAAAGATTCGCGAAACAATACGTATATACACGAAACACATACTTGTACCACAATTGTAATACATCGATAGACCAATCTTTCGAGAAGTAAGACGCAGTTACGAATGCGCTTGACCAATGTATCGCGTGCGAGATATATCGATATGCTTCGATCGAACGATGAGAACAGTCGAACGCGAATTGTATAGAAAGTTGACGTACGTAATCGTAGCGCGATTAGGATCGTCGTTGGGAGAGATTAAAATCGTGTTTTCTTTTTTTTTCTTTTTTTTTTTTCTTTAACTGAATTTCAAAATCGATATAATTTATTTGTTAATCGATTCACGGAATTATGTATACGGGGAAGAGAGGATATTCTGAAGTCGATGGTCCGCGATCGTCGATTCGTTCGAGGTATAAAAAAAAAAAAAAAACGATCGTATTCACCAGCGATGACTGCGTGCACCAATCGTCGGCAAATTTATTTCGATAATTGTTAAATTATAATCGTGGATCCGGCAGCCAATGGAAATTTATCGATGATCGCTCGCCATATTTCGATTTTTTATTAAACCGATAACAAAGAACCAACCGTCTGCCGCGAGTGATCGTCGATAAAGAAAATTTTACGGTATTCGGGGGAGGCAAACATTGATGCATGAGTCCTCGATGGTCTAACGGAAGCGGCTGTAAATGCGGTTTGAACGGTTGAGATCGAAGCTTGATCGAGAGAGAGAGAGAAAAAAAAAAGACATACTTTGGGCATTCTTTTGAATCGCGTTCGAATGCGAATTGCGAATGAATGAGAGTGGCGAGTGACGAACAGATCGCAAGTACGTGGTTCGCAACTTTGAAACATGTGATACGTCGGTCGGCAGAATTGACTTCCGGTTATCGGGAACGATCGGAAGAAGGGAGAAGGGATGATTGGGAGAAAGGAAAAAAGGGGAAACGTAAGCACGAAACGAAACAACGTAAGCATATACTGGCAGTGGATTCGCTGGCTGACGCATTTTTTAAAGATTCTTTGAAGTAGGAACGCTCTTTTGTTGAAGGTTGATTGTTATCAAAATGGTTGTGAGGTTATAATGTTTGAAATGTGTTAATGATGCGACGCGAAAGTTCGATCGACCGATCGACACGACTTCCGGAAACGAAATCGATTCGTTCGATTAATCGATTATCGATTGCGATCGAAAGAAATTTTTTTTTTTTTTTTCCCCTCGTTTCGAGAAGCCGTGTCGATTGTCTCGCCGAATAGCAGACGAGGAGACGAGTAGGAAAACGTGCGTTCACGTTCCAAATTTTCTTTCGTTTTCTTTTTTTTTTTTTTTTTTTTTTTCTTCATTCGATTCGATTTCCACAAGTCATGAACATTCCTTTTAATCGAAGTTACATTTTTTTCAACATTACGTAGTTATTTTTGCTATTATGAATAGAATATACGAATGGTCGATCGGCCGTAGCATTTATTTCTCTAACATTTAAATTGAATTCGATTGGCGGGAGCGCACGTGTTCCCCCAATATTGTGAAATTCGTCTCCGAGGAAGCGTGCAACTGGCATTACCCCGCATAAAGTCTGGTTCGAATTGTGTGTTCAATTTACGACAAATCGATGATGTTTTCCCGCGCTGTTTCCTTTCGATTCGAATAGATTTAAAGTAGAAATGAAAGATCTCGTGTAATTAAGAAGGAGCATTAACAGGTAAGACATCTTCGAATTGTGGTACGGAAGATGATCAACCAGGCCGTTGGAAAAATGTGCGACTGATATAAACCAGTATTCGTGCGAGAAATAAATTGTAAAATAAAATTCGCGTAACCTAGCCTTAATGAGAAAGATTAAAATTAGATGTAATAGAGGCGGTGCCGCGAATGGCGGCCTCGCGTCGAAATTATCTCGATTGGCTGTAAAATATTATCGTGGAAAGTGGGAGCGACGGATTCGACGTTGGAGACAAACGCAAATCCTCGAATTTCTCGAAAAGATAAATCTATCCGAAAGAAACGTCGTTCGAACGTCGTCGTTCCCCTTCTCACGGTGATGTATCTAGTGAGAGTAATGTTACTAGGTAACTTAAGCGTATTTTAAAAAAGAAAAAAAAGAAAAAAAGAGAAAAAAGTATAAACGAAATGCCAGTTGTAAACAGTTTTTCTTTTTGAAAAGGAAGAAAAAAAGAAAAAAGAAAAAAGAAAAAAAAAGAAAAAGAAAAAAAAAAAGAAATACACGTCGGGAAAAAAGTACGGAAAGACATGTTCGATAAAAGGGAGAACATGTCTCGAGCGACGCGTCCATTCATTGCCGGGAAACGAAACTGTGCAACGAATTGGCAACACGAGTAGAAGAAATAGAAAATTGATGGAACAGAAAGATATGAAATTTTCGTTCGATACGAGGCGAAAGGAAAGTTTCCGCAAACGGCAAGAGATCGTATTTGGTCGCGCGATGTCGGTACGATCGGTTTTTCGTTTTTCTTTCTTTTTGATTATTTCGGACCGCCCGAAGGGAACGATCACAAGAGTTCCGCGAAACATGAAAATAGAGTGAACTAAGGTGATAGAGGGTAATAAGGATACAATATATAAACGGAAGCGAAAGAAAGGATAATGGCAGAGAAACGATGTTAATAATATACATATGTATGTATGGGCAACGGAACATTGTCATGTGTATACGCGAATTTACAAATTTTTCAAGAAACGACAGCTTTACCGATAGTTAAACAATAGATTTTTCGCAACTTGGGCACACGTAACAAACACCTTAAACATGATACACAATAACACTTACATACACGCATTACATGTAAAGCGATCCATGCGAAACAAAAAAAAAAAAAAAAAAAATTGTACGAATATAATGTTTGCAGTTAGGTGGGACCAAAAACAACTTTATATCTGTATGTGCATATCCAAGCAACGTGTAATTTAATTAATGAATTAATTAATTATCCATTATTAATGACTAGGTAAAGAAAAAGATCCATTGATAGCGATCAAGGACGAATGACGAATCATTAACCAATAATTAGATTATTAAGTTTGTTTATTGATGCATTATTATATAATATAATTATTATTATTATTTTTATTATTTTTATTATTATTATTATTATTATTATTATTATTAACTTTATTGTCTTTACGATTATTATTATTATCATTATTATTATTATTATTTTATTTTATTTTATTTTATTCTATTTTATTTTATTTTATTACGATAATTAATGACGACGATAATATTATTATTATTTAAATGACGTTTTAAGACATGATTATTTAGATACCGAATAGAGCAGTACGTATCATTAATTATTTTTAATTATTATTATTATTATTATTATTATTATTATTATTATTATTATTATTATGAAATATTTTGTTGTATTATTTTCAATAAAATCGATTGAAAATATTTAATTTCCTCGGTTTTTAATTTTTTTTTTATGCTTTTCCATTTGTTTCAGATTTCTTTTTTACAAGTGATTTCTTCTTTCTTTCAGACATTATATATCTCGGTTTCGATCATTTTCTAGGATGATAACAATTATAATCGAGGGATCGATTAATTATCGTTAATCAGAAAAGATAAATCAAAATTAGATTGGACAAGAAGAGGAAAGAAAGACTTGAAATCACTCCTCGCTTAAATCCTATCAATTTCTTCTTCCGTCCTTCTGTTTGATTTCTTATTTCTTCACTTTCTTTTTCTTTTCAGTTTCTTTTTATTTTTTTATTTTTTTTTTTTTTTTGATATATACAAATTTCATTGGCTGCATCTGTATACGATTTTTCACTTCACAGAACCCCTCCGAGAGCACCCTCCTCTTACGCTCCTTTCTCTTCTCTCTGTATCATGTCTCCTCTCTCCCTCTTACTCTCATGTATCTTCGGATGATTATCGAGACTCGGGAAGAACGGGGGAAGACGGAACTTTGAACGATTGAAGCAGCGCTATATTACTTAGTGTAAAGCTATATTAAACTTGAAAAGCAGGAAAGAAGATAAGGAAGGAGGAACGATAGAGGCAAAGATGTAAAAAAGAAAAAATAAAAAAAAATAAAAAAAAATAATAAAAAAAAAAGGGAAATTATATTGATGGATATGGTGTAAAGCGATCGAAACGACGAAATTCGGGGCAAAAAATGGAAACGAATGGAATGTTGTTAGGATACGAAAAATGCAGGGAAGAACGCGTGGAAGCAAACATGGAAAAAAAAAAAAANAAAAAAAAAAAAAAGAAGAAGTAAAAGAAAACTGAACGAACACGAATTAAATTACGGAAAACGACAACAAGAGTAACAAAGAGCCACAACTCAAATGTGAAAAAAAAAAAAGAATGAAAGAAGAAGAAGAAGAAGAAAACAGAGAGAGAAACAAAAAGGATAATAGTTGTAAAAGCCACACACATACGCGTACACACATACACACACAAATGTACTAAGTAAGTTCATACTGCGTATTGCCTTTCTGACTTCGGTGTGAAAAATATATAAATAAAAAAAAAAAAATGTCAGTCGTGCCGGGACTCGGGGATTTTCGAGCGACCGAATATAATATATAAGTATTTAAGTAGTAGAGAAGTATCCCGAAAAGTGGCGCGCTATCGGTCGCGTTTTCCGTTTCCCTTGCTTCTCTCTTCGCGTTTTCCTTTTCCTTTTTCTTTTCCTTTTTCTTTTTTCTTTCTGAGGGGGGAGGGAGGGAGAATAGGAGAGAAGAAGAAGGAACGAACGGGGGAAGAAACGTTGCTCTTTTCTTTTCTTTTCTTTTCTTTTTTTTTCCTTCTTTTTTTTTTTTTTTTTTCTTCTCTCTCGCCCATTCCACTCGGTCTTCCCACCTTTCGATCTCTTTCTCGAGAATGGTCGTCGATCAAACACGCTGGGCGCTATCCAATCCGAGAACTATCGAGCGAAACGAAAGCCGCGACGAAGCGCGTCCGCGAAAGAACAAAAGGATTTTTTTTGCACGGTTCCGCAGAAATAATATGTCCCAGGAGCGCCCAAGTCCCCGTGTCCCTCCGCCGGCTGTGTCTGTTTCATGTTTTTCAATATTTGTAATTTATCGATAAAATTATAAAAGGTATCGATAACAGTCTAAAGTGTGCGCTACTCTACATAATATTATTATATATAAAGTATAAAAGTATACATTATATATATATATTATATATATATACATATATATTATATATGAGAAGTATAATATATATATATTATACACACATTGGGATTGGTGAGAATATACGGTTTTTTCGCTTTGGAGTGTTATTTTCTGAAAATATTGAACAAAATATGGAAAAAAAAAAATTAAAAAATAAAATCAATGAATAAAAAACGAACGAACCGTTCTACTATGACTCTTTTTATTACCGACATACATTAATTCCCGAAATCTTGCCTCCTCGGTTTCATTCAATTTTTTAAATTCGAGGCATCGATCTCTCGGAACGGATTTTTTTTTTTTTTTTTTTCAATCGTTGCAGACGATTCGTTTGGCAAAAAGATTGAAAATAACGATCTTAAGGATGAATTTTAACGATCAATCACACGAGGTTTTTAATTAAAATATTATATATTTTATTCTTCCGGTATCGAACATTTACATTTTATTTCCATTATTTCTTTTTTTTTTTTTTTGTTGTACTTGGATAAAATTTGATTTCGATTGTGAATTCGCGAAATTTATATTGCTTATAAAATTGTAGCAAACAGAATCAGAGTTGACTCATGAAACCAATTGCAATGAATTTCCCAAAAAGTTTCTGCGAACACTTCCGCGTACGTTCAAATGCCTGGTCGACACATCGATCAATGTCGAAAACGACAAACCTCGAGATCTCATTAGGTTAGAATGATATAATACGAGATAATCGAAATATCGAATTGAAATATATGCAAACTTTTTCTTTTCTACAGATTGTTAGGTGAACTCCTCGAGATTACCGATTACGCCACGAATATGGCGTCCTTTTGGTTTTTGGATACTCTGGCCCTTTATATGCTACGTTACAAAGAGGAACTCGACGAGTATTACATGGCTGTTCTGATCAGTTGGTTGGCCGGTGAAATTAAATTGCTTCGAGGTAACGAGATTACAAAACGTTTGAGTTTATTTATTTTTATTTTTTTACATTATTATCCTTATTACTTATGATTTATTTATAAAAGATAAGAAGTGTACAAGGAAAGAATTTTTTCAAGAGATGAAGAATATTTTTATCGTAGTTGGTAACAAAATATCTCAACAGAATCGAATACCGTATTGGGACGAAATTGTGTATGAAATGAAAGAAGAGACGGAGGAGAATGAATCGATGAAAAGGTAGGTTCATCCAGCCGCGTAAATTTTTATTGTCCGTTTTTAATAATAGCTGGAATATACATTTGCGAGAAGCTTACAAGAATTCACTTCGCAAGGAGATATGAAATTCTTAAGCAACATCGATCCCGTTTTAGTTTTGAATATCATAATTGATACCACTTACGATATGTAAGTTCATTTTTTAAAATGAAACATTTAGTTTAAAAAGCAAGATAAGATTAGGATAGAAAAAAAAAAAAAAAGAAATAATAATTGTCGGGGAAACAGGTACGCGAATGAATTACGATACGCTCTCGTTTACGCAGTTTTCGTTGAACCAATTGAAGTGCAGACTTATAATTTGCCATTTAGTATCCGAAATCCACGTCTGATGAAACCGGCTGAGTATAGGATAACTCCTTTCAACATACAATTGCAAAAACTTCTAAGAAAAAACGACCTGTTACAAAAGCTTAAAAAAGTTGATAAAAATAAAAAAGGTAATGTAAAATGCAAATTTTTCTTTAGTTTAAAAAAATATTTCAAAGACAAAACGAATTGTATGATTTCTATGTTACAGCTAAAATTCACGAAGTACCTCCAACCCCTCCACCTTCTTTGGATGATGAAATGCAATTGAAATGCAATCGTTTATTTATTCTACCATTAATAGAAGCAAAAGAGGCATCGTACTATTTTGAAGCGAATGCAAATTAATCAATCAAAAACATAAATTATTAAAAAATATTTTATTCTCTCCTTTCTTTTTTACAGACTTAACTATTAAAACTATTAAAAATTGTAATATCAATTTGTTATAAGGATTGTACCCCATTCACGACACTTGAAATCTTTAATAGTTCCGGGAATTATAGAGGTATCGAGTTTGATAAACTTCATTGAATTTGCAAGCTTTTCCGGAGATTGTCCTAATTGACCATACTTGTTACATCCACATCCCCAAAATGTTCCATCATCTGAAAATGAATTTCATATTTATTTAAACAATTAATTATATTATTTAATTGATAATTCTATACTTTAATGACTTGCAGAATTGATCCTCTTTTCTTTATAATATTATTTTTTTTACTCATACGTACTCGTCATACAAATCGTAAACGTATTTCCACATTGAACTTTTTCCACAAAAATTTCTACGCTTTCGTTTTTATCGTTTGTAAAATCTATCAATGTAGGCACAGCAATTACTTTACTCTCTTGATTAGTCAATCCCAATTCTCCGTTCGTATTCCATCCCCAAGTATAAAGGTCACCCTGTAATTAAAAATGATCGTTAAAAAGTATCTTTATCGATTTCACCTATTTATTGCAAGAGTATTCACTTGATTTGTTACTACAGCACTGTGCCAACCTGCAGCTGAAATTTGCGTTACTTTGATCCCAGCTAAAGCTTCAACGAGTTTTGGGTTGTCACAATCCTCTAAATCGTTGTGTCCTAATTGACCACGCCTGTTTCGTATGAATCAATTCATTTTACTTTGATTGTATTAATTTGTGGAATAATGTAGAATCGAAATGATACATACGTTCCCATTCCCATTGAATAAAGGTCACCATTCTCTGCTAACAAGATAGTGTGATCAAATCCACATGCAATATCTATGAATCGAACTCTCTTTGGAATATCAATCAGGGTAGGAATATTAAAAACTCGACCTAAATCATATTTTCAATGTGTATACAAATTTTATTACTTGTTATATGTATTACAAAATATACCTAAATTAGTAAGAACAACAGCGCATTCTTCTTGTATTATTTTAACAGGATATTCATTTTCTGAATCATTACTATTGCAAATGAAATTGATAACTTTTTTCCATGTTTTTTCATAGATTTTATATTGCCATATTTCATTATCATCAAATAAAAGTACTATTTTATCTTTGCCAATTGCAGCTTGATTTATACTATAGATAAAGATAAATAATAAAGTTCAGATTTGAATGTATAATTTTCTAGTCTAGTTATCTAAATGTACCTATCTAATGGTTTTTCTAGTGGTCGTATCAGTTGAAAATTTGAATCTGCTTCTTTGCTATTTTCCTCAAATTTTTGAGAGATATATAATTCTTTCCCTTTCCAAATAAGAAAATAACTCCAGCCTATTTGAAAACCGGTAATTCCAGAAAATGATACTTTAGTAAACGTATCTACTATAAAGATAATATTTCCATTGTTAGAAAATAACGTGCTGGTATTAAAACCAGCATAATAAAATGTCATGTTTCTAAAAACAAAATATATTTTTTTATATATATAGACTTGTAAGTTTTTTTTAAAACTATATTTAATATTGAGCGATACAAAAGTAGATAAATGTACATTCGTTAATTTATGTCTCTATGCAAATATATACCGTGAAAGATTATTGGTCAAATGACGCAGGTACCATCAGTTTCCTTAGATACGAAAGACAACAACACAATAAATTCGACGGACGGTAACAGAACGATTGACGTGACGTGGTAAACTATTGCCACATTTTTTGCTCCCGTTTCATAAATAACAACGAGAAATGGTAAGAAAACAAAGAAAATTAATTTTTAATGCACTTTATAATAATATGCATTTTTTAATATCATTTAAAAAATATTTTCCTAAAACACGAATATTTGAAACATAACCTAATAACAACTACACTCTTGAGTTTAAACATAACTAACATTATCACAATATATTTCATAAACAATCATTATCTATTTAATTCTATTTATCGTTTATTCTGTATTTTGATATTTCAAATAAACATATATTAGTAAAAAATTAATAAAATTTTCGACAACAAATTCACACATTCCGTACGAGTGCAGCACTGCCATCTCGAAGCAATTTCGTCTGCTAGGTTAACGCGCGCGCGATTTAAATTTAAATGTTTGAATCCTATAAATATTTATTTGAATAACAAGACATTTTCTTATTGATTTAACAGGGACTTTTATCAATTTTGAGAAAATTACGTTCCAATCCAGATAAAGAGTTACGATTGCTCCTTTTAGGATTGGATAATGCAGGAAAAACAACAATTTTAAAATCATTGGCCAGTGAAGATATTACACAGGTATCATTTATATGAATTACCATTGTTATAAATTTATATTATAATTTAATTACTCGTTACATTACTAATTCATTATTTATTAAAGGTAACACCGACACAAGGATTTAATATAAAAAGTGTTCAAAGCGAAGGTTTTAAATTGAATGTCTGGGACATAGGAGGTGCTCGAAAAATTCGACCTTATTGGCGAAATTATTTTGAAAATACGGATGTTTTAGTAAGTTATTTTAATTATCCAAACATCATCACGTCACAAAAGAGATGCGTTAAATTTTTTTTTTCTTTTTACAAAGATATATGTCGTGGATAGCGCAGATATAAAGAGATTAGAGGAAACAGGTCAAGAACTATCAGAACTTTTATTGGAAGAAAAATTGAAAGGTGTTCCATTATTAGTTTATGCGAATAAACAAGATCTTGGACAAGCAGTCACAGCAGCAGAAATTGCCGAAGGCCTTGGATTACATAATATCAAAGATCGCGATTGGCAGATACAATCGTGCATCGCTATTGACGGGAAAGGCGTCAAGGTAAATCAATTATACGTATATTTAAATATGTTGCATTACATTATATTAAGTTAATTAAGTAATCTAGTAATTAAAATTAACTTAATTCTGGTTAAATTATTGATATAAATCTTCTATGATTTCACAGGAGGGTCTTGAGTGGGCATGCAAAAACATTAAAAGAAAGTAATATTGGCATAAGCGTCTTAAAAAATCGAACAGCTTACAATGTACCTCATACATTCAACATACTTTTTATTTGGCTTTTATCTAATATTTACAAAAGCTGTTAACAGACAACGTAAATGGATTTACTAGTCAATCAACTTCCGTCCTTCATGGAAGGAGCTTTTCTAAGCTCTAATTTACGATGCCTTAATGAATACGTATCTATAGTGTAATACATGCCTTCTTACACGTGTTCTTCTTCTTCTCATAAGATAAAATTTTTATAGATCTCTTTGGAAAAAAAAAAAAAATAAATAAATACAAAAGCGAATTAAAATAAAATATACAAATAAGTGGCGTATATATATATTTGATCGCTAGTGACTGCACAATTGATCAAGAAAATCTTTTGCACTGTGAAACCGAAAAAGTTACACGATGTGTATAAGAGAAGGTAAAATAATCCTCACGTAAAATTCAGGATAAATAAAATATTCATAAAATTAATGATCTACTTATTCGACGATCGCGTTCCTTATCGCGTTCTTCTATGTACACTTAAAAGGAAACAGAGACATTTCAACTTTGTCCTGTGATATTTTTTTTTAGAACATCATTCTTTCCTTAACGAACAACAATCTTATAAACTATAGATAAGAATAAACAGTCGCGTGATACGGCTGTGTATTCATTAAATTGACTTTAAAAATCGTCTGAATCGTCTCTCACAAAGTACACTAAATTAAAAAGTATTAAAGTTCACTGTGAATATTTTCTGTGGTAATTCGGATCTCCTCTTCGTGGAAGTCTGTGCAGTCAGCTGGATACTTTTGCTAAAAATTGAAAATTGATTTTATAATAATAATTATAATATATAAACACAAGTATACATTTCTCCTCGTCAAAATGTTACTCACGATGCACATATCGTGTTCCATGATGGCTCCGTACAGGGTCCAAAAATTAGTTCCTAATTTGTTGCTGACAGCCCACGCAGCGGGAAAACTAGTCATTTTCGACATAACGCTTCGTAGACGGGGTTGTTCCTGATCCAATTCATTCTTCTCGTTGATGGTGCACAAGATTTGACTGGCGCATTGAGGCCTCTTGATAGCCCATTTGTACGCTCGATAAGACTGAAAATTAATCCACAATTTTACTTACTGCTTATTCTATTTTTACATATACAAAATATAAAATTATCCCATTTATTTATTTATTTTTTCTTTACTTTTAATATCGGATTGATAATATCGTTATTGATCATGTCGCTTAGTCTATTGCTGATCCCTTTGGCATTTATTCGAGACATGATGAACCCTTTCTCCGAAGCCAGGGCGATTAATTCCTTAATGTACGCTACAGCCGGCTTGATATATTGCGAACTGTCCATTTTCATTCCCAAGTGTCTCTTTCCTATTGCATTCACTAACCTGTCGGAACACAATTACGTGATAAAATCTAAATGCATTTTTCTTTTTTCTTCTTTTTTTTTTTTTTTTTTTTTAAACAACCATCGTTACACGTTAATTTTTTTCTGAGAACGAGAAATAATCTTGGACGATTTCTCGAACGATCGATGACTTTAAAAAAAAAAAAAAAAAAAAAAAAAAAAATAACGACGCTTATTCTTATTACACGAGATTTAGATTTCAATTTTTTTTTTTTTTTTAAGGAGAATAATAGTAGAATAATAATATATACCTAGAAAGACTCTCTGCAGGCCTCGTCGAGTCGAACATGGCCGATTTAGGGAATCCCTGCGACTTCAAGAAACTATTCCCCACAAATTGAACCGTGTTCAGGTAACGTTGTTGAATTTGTGGATCAGAGACGTGCGAGATCCACTCCCCGATGTAATTCGTCAAAGATCGTATCCACTTTCGCCTCAAGCTTGGATTCTCGAAACTGTCCAGCAGTTTCTCGTATTGGATACGCCCCTCCGGATCCGACATTTGCCCGACAAATTTCGCCAGGCCGCTCTTCTCCCATAACGTTTGGCCCAACTCCGAGTTACTGAAGTGATCCCACATCACGTGCAGATTTTCCAGAATCGGTGGCATGTACCAAGAATGGCCCGAGTGATCGTGAATTTTATTGGACGCCGCCCCGTCGATTTCGTTGCTCTCGCCGGCAAAATTGGAAAGCAGCATCGGCAACAGGCCCATTATCAACTCGGAATTTCGACCGTTTCGACCCATCAGCATGCTTCCAATGTTCACGATCCCCTCTAGATCGATCCCAAGATCCTGCTTCGTTTCCACCCCTTTCGACGATCTTTCGGTACGATCCTTTTGGTTCGAACTCGTCACGCCATCGAGGACCGATCTCAGCATCGAGAAATCGATGCCTCCTTGGCCGTTTTCGTCCCCCGAGAATAAACTTCCTATTCCCGAGACGATTTGCCCGACGCTGTCCAGATTAGATTTTTCGTACATGTTGCTCGCCTGCTTGAAAAACGAGAGATAATTTCTTTTTTAATACGTTTTTTAATTGTTCGAAATTGCTCCGTTGCCAATTCCACTTAATAATTTTACTTACTTCGATACAAGATTTTTTCTACTTTTTAAATTTTACGGAACATAGTGTATGTAAAATCATGGATCGATACGTTACGACGTAGATCTTACGAGGAAGCGATGATTTTACCTCGTTCCTTCCATCCGAGTCTAAGAAAGCTCTTGCAAGGCCTTGAAGCCCATTGATATTGTCCTTGTTCGAGAAGAAAGATTTAGCCGCCTCGAGGAACACCGTCGTGGCAGCGTCCTCCTCGCACTTCGCCGCAATCAACAGGCCGAGCAGGATGCACGTTCTCGGCAACCGCATGGTCCTTCCTTTTTCTCTGCGAGGGAAGAATGAATTGTTAATAAAAATAAAATGGAAGAAAGGATGGCAAGAGGCGCGCATTTCCCTACGAGAATTTTTATATTCGATTTTATACTCGTGGCGTGGACTCGTCGAAGAAAGGAAAAGAGTCGTTCACCCTAAACGGGATCTCGTGGTCGAGTTATTTTAAGGATGACGCGTAAGGTCTCGTATCCAGGTCGCAGCCACGATTTCAAGAGTGGGTATATAATACACCGGAAACGTTTCGGCTCGTGGTCACTCGAATACCGTTGCGCGTGGAATGTTATCGGACCAACGATCGAAGGCGGACACGTTGGGGCCATTGTCTTCTTAGGGCCTCTCTTCGATCGTTCAATTTTCTTAACGACCATCTCTCGCCCTTGCGACCACGACGATCATCCGCGAGATGAATCTACGGAGGAGATCTCCCAATCGAGAGGAAACCTGCCAACAAACGAATCGAACGGGTGTATTCTAACGCGCGATTTCAGTACCGTAAACCGCATTGAAATTGACATTCTCCAGTTGGAGGAACGATTCGGGATAACGGTACACACTGTTAGTCATTGCTCCTCCAACGCGCCAAACTCGCGCCGAACCATTTCGTCATTCAGGTTCGTTCATTCATTATTCATTTCATTAGTTTTTCGTTTCTTCTTTTCCTTTTTCGATATTCGAATCTCGAAATAATGATCGACAGTGAATATTTCCTTATACGATTCTTCTCCCTTTCCTTCAAAGAATCACTCGAGATGAGTTTCTCTCGAGGAATAATCGGAAAAGCAATGAACGCACGTACGTTGGAAGAAGCGATATTCGGGAGAATATCGACGTTCCTTTCGATCGACAAAGCCTAACTTGAGCCTGATCTCGTATTATGGATTTCGATCCCAATAGAGAGTGGAGGATTGCGGATCGTTGGCGCGCGGTCGAGAGGGAAAGCGAGGAGAACTCTCGGTTCGTGGTTGGTTTCCAAGGTCAACCGGCCATCGACATCATTTCTCGCCTTCTCGGGGGACCACGAGATGTCCCGTCCACCGCTCGCCCTTTTCGTTCCCTTCCAATTTTCTTCTTCCTTTTTTTCGACCTCATTTCTCTCTCTCTCTCTCTCTCTCTCTCTCTCTTTCTTTCTCCCTCTTCTTGCTCGAACAAACAGAGTCAACGAGATAACGGTACAATTCGTGTATTATTAATGATTTTGTTCAACAACGCGTACCGTTCTTCTCGGATAGGTGATGCAGATTCCGATCTAAGATAGCCACGAATAAGAGAGCACAAAGAGAGGGAGAGAGAGAGAGAAAGAGAGAGAAGAATGGAGGCGCTTATTAGACGATTCAATGATTCATAGATTCTGTATACGTAACCGGTGTATTTTATTACGTAATTAAAGAAGCTCGTTAGACACGCTCAGAATACCTCTTTACAACGGTTATGTATATACAATTTGCCATAAGATCCATTTACACGACCAGACATTGCTCTTTCGGGGCGCGAAACTTTTCCATCCTTGTTCCGCGATGCAAGCGGAATTCCCTCGAAAAGCGGAAAAACGAATTCGAACGAAACGAAGGTTAAAATAATAGTAGCGAATTTTCCTTTTCTTTTTTCTTTTTTCTTTTTTTTCTTTTTCGTGAAATACATTTGTCAATCGTAACGATAACATTATTGCTATTGGTGTTATCGTTCTTGGTTTATTTTTTCATATTGTTGTGACTAAATGAATAATGACAATAGCTGTTTTTTTTTACGATACTTAAACGTATAACGTATACATATATATTAATTATCTTGGATCATTTAAATATTTGTAATGTGTTAAAGTATCGCTTGACGCGATAAATTTCATTCGAAAAGTATATTCGTTATATTTTTTTTTTTTTTTTTTTTTTTCTAATTCTTCGTCGCGTTAATTCGACACGATCGATAGATTTATCGTCGCGAGGAAGCTATCGAGAAACCTTGAAGAATTATATCGAATCATCGAAAGTACGAATAATAAAAAAAAAAAAAAAAAAGTCGTTTCTCTAAATGAAGCAGAAAATAGAATTCGAACAGATTGAATTATTAAACGAATCATGAAAAATCATGTAAGCGCGACAACGGTATTTACGATCAACCAGAGCGTGTTCGATTTCGATGGGTACGATCGTTGAAGCTTGACACACCGCTACGCGACACGCACCACCGCGTGACAGGATAAAACCGCATTCAAAAAAAAAAAAAAAAGAAAAAAAAGGGAAAAAAACTTCATTCAACGATTTCAATCTCGACAAAATTCGAACTTCGTTCCTTTTCGATTCCCTCCCCGTACATTTCAAGAGTAGGAAGTCACACGCGTTGGAAATCTTTTCCTTTTCTTTTCTTTTCTTTCTTTCTCGCGAGAGAGAGTCGACGGATCGTTCAAGATCCAAGCGAAGATGAATAATTACCTTGGAGGAAAGAAAATAACGATGATGCGTTTGGCGATGAAGAGGAAGAGGCGAAGATAGTCCCGTTGGTCCCCGAGAGAGCCTTGCACACCTGACACGACGAAGGTTGTGGCGTGACTGCTCGTCGAAGGTAGCCCGACGAACGGTACTTACCTGCCTAAGCCACGAGCGTGGAACCCGATAACACCGTGCTTCGTTCACAGCTCTTTGCCACCTCTCGTGCATCCTCCTCCTCCGCGCTCAAATCCTCTCCAAATATTTTTCGAACCTCGTCCACGCGCGCCTCGCGCTCAATGGAATTGCTCCCCCCCCGTAAATTTTCCATTCTTTTCCATTTGCGCGGGTGTATGGCATTTCGACGATAATTCCGGAAAAAGTGTATCTAGAAATGAAGAATTCGAAGAAGAATTGGATAATAAAATGTATTGTTTATAATGGATATTATAAAAGTTTAAGTAGGAAAAGTAAAAAGTAGGAAAGGTAGATACCCTTTTTGAAACGTGGACGGATTAAGATGTTTGTGTATATATGAATCGGTGTATATAAAACCGGATCGCCACTTTCGGTGAGTAGATCCTCTGCCAGCCCGGTTCATTGACCCCGAATGAAACGAATTTCGGGGGAATACAGTCACGTGAACGCGGTGGTATGGCATCGGCTCGATGAATTCGAAAGGTGGCAAGGTCGAAATTTCTTCAACCGGTTCCGTGGCTATGGCCAACTGCCAGGATTTTAGACGGTGATGGGATGCCTCGACTATTCGTTTGGCATTTGACCACGTTTTCGCGTAATCTAATGGATGGGACAACAGGTGTCGAGTGCCAGTTTTCTCGGGCCGCGTTTTAAAAAAAAATACCACGCCATTTAGATACGCACGCGTGCTGCCCAGGCTCGAGAAACACCGTTATGAGATCAGAATTCTTGTTTTCATCCGTGTTTTGCTCGATGAACTCCGATGCTCGATAAGGAGAACTCGAGAATTTCATCGCGACGGTGCAAAGGAAACTTTATTCCTTTGGATTCGAAACACGAAGATTTCTATGATTTCACCCCTTTCGTTAATAATTGATGACATTTCGGAGTGTGTGTCATCTTGCGTAATATTTGCGAATATTACAATCACGGAAATGTTACGTTCCTATGGTTCTTCTTCTTCTTCTTCTTCTTCTTTCTTTTCTCTTTTCCCTTCCTGTCGGCAACTCTATGTTTTTATATTTATATGAAAATATAAGCTTATCCGCACGTAATATCGTACGTGTCCGCGTGAATAAAAGATCAAAGACGTGAGACGGAGCTATATGCACGTAAGTAGGCGTGACTTTCGTTGTATACACGCGCCACGATACATATACGAAATCAAAGTGGAAAGTAGATGAGCGTGGTCGCGCGAGGGAAACGAATTGCGTAATACGAAACTGATCTCGGTACGATGGGCAAGAGAAAGGAGTCGATCGACAGGCGCATTCGTAATTTTATGGTGCAGAGGATGGTGTTAAAAATAATTGGTATTTGGCCATCGAACGATGAAAATTCGTTCTTTGGCAGATGGATTTTCGCCGTGACGACACAAGTAAGTTCGAAAATGTATGGCGGTAATTGTCGAGATCCTCCCAGGATCTTTCTTTTCGCAATTATAGATCGGTATTATCTACATCCTGTCCATGGAAATCTATCGCCATTGCCTCGACATCGACGACACGATGGACGCATTCGTCATGGATCTTTCCGCCGTCATCAGCCTCGCCAAACTTTTTATCTTGCGTTTGAATTCGAAACACACTTGGGTCCTTATAAATTCGGTGGTGAAAGATTGGTCGAGCGTTCACGATTCCGGCCACGAATACATTATGGCGGAATACCTTAAGAAAGGACGAATCGTCTCTCTGATGATACTTTATCTGGGCTACGCTTCCGGATTTTCTTTTATCTTCAAAGCCTTACCTTTCGGAGATATTCTGCCGTTCCAGGTTCGTCAAAGTTTATTGTCTTTCGATTTCGATTTCGTTACATTAGAAAGAGGAGAGTAATAATTTTTTTTTTGATGACTGAGAGATAATATTGATATTATTTATGATGAAAATATGGTATTATTAAAAAAAAAAAAAAAAAAAAAAAAAGAAAAAGCAATTTTATTCGAAAATCGAAACTGTATTGATACTTGAAAAAATTTTTTTGTTTAGATGTTTCAAAACTCGAGAAATTTATCGATGAATCCGGATATTCCTTTGAAATTGAATTACTTCCTGGCATCCTATTGCGTGTTCGGATCGTTGCCTTTGCTCCATCACGTTTGCGTACTAGTGTTGCAAGGAATATTCATTTTCGTCAACGCGGTTGCTCATTGCGGCAACGACGGATTGTTCTTCAGTTTAACTATGCACTTGTGCGGCCAATTCGAGATCCTCAAGACGAGCATTGCCAAAATCGAGTTTGTCGATCAGAGAAAGATCGGTCCACTCGTGAAACGACATTGCCAACTCGCGCTACTCGTCAATGATTTAGAACAGACTTTCAACATGATCATATTTGTACAATTATTGATGAGCGCATTGCTGATTTGTGTGGACGGTAAGATTTATATTTGCTTTCGTTACGCATTAACAATAAAATCTCAACTCAACTCATCTTGTTTTCAATAGTATTAACAAATGTTTTAAATAAAAGTTGAACGGTATTTCATATATTCTAATATTGTAAATTATTTCGTATTTAATAATATCAGAATGCGTTTATATGCGTATATTAAAAAAACACTTTCGACTTTTATTTGAAACATTTTTTTAACATTATCAAAAACAACCGAGAATGATAAAGATATGAGGCAAATTGTGAACTTCCTAGAATTAAAAAATTGTAAGATAAGCAGATAAATGGTAAGTAATAGATTTAAGAAAGGTAAGTATATTAGATTTAAGAAAAATGTTTAAAAATGTGCAATATTGCGAAGAATGAAGCTGTAAGGTAAGTATTATAAAATATAAGGTAAGTATACAAAGGTAAGTATTATATAAAAAAAAAATTAATAAAAAATAAAAAAATGTACAATATTGAGAAGAATTTATTATAAGAATTTCAAAAATTCCAGGAATTTGATACTGAAATAGAAGAATTATGAAAATTCCAAGAACTAGCGAAATTCTCAGAAAACATTCTCGAGCGATCTCCTATCAACTCATGTTCTCCTGATACAAAAACGAATTTTCGGCCAAAAGTTTCAATTTCAAGAATTTCGGAAATTTCAAGAATTTGACGTCATTTTCAAGAATTGGCAAAATTCCTAGAAAAATTTCTCGAGCGACCTCCTATCAACTCATGTTCTCCTGATACAAAATCGAATTTTTGGCCAAAAGTTTTAATTTATTTCAAGAATTTGGAAAATTCCAGGAATTTGACGTCATTTCCAAGAATTGGCAAAATTCTTGGAAAAATTTCTCGATCGATCTCCTATCAACTTATGTTCTCCTGATACAAAATCGAATTTTTGGCCAAAAATTTTAATTTTCTTCAAATATTTGAAAAATTCCAGGAATTTGACGTCATTTCCAAGAATCCTGAAAATTCCAAGAATTTAACGTCATTTTCCTGGAATATTAAAGGTTCTCAGAATTTGACGTCATTTCCAAGAATTGGCAAAATTCCTGGAAAAATTTCTCGGACGACCTCCTATCAACTTATGTTCCCCTGATACAAAATCGAATTTTTGGCCAAAAATTTTAATTTTCTTCAAATATTTGAAAAATTCCAGGAATTTGACGTCATTTCCAAGAATCGTGAAAATTCCAAGAATTTGACGTCATTTTCCTGGAATTTTAAAGGTCCTCAGAATTTGACGTCATTTCTAAGATTTGGCAAAATTCCTGGAAAAATTTCTCGGGCGACCTCCTATCAACTTATGTTCTCCTGATACAAAATCAAATTTTCGGCCAAAAATTTTAATTTTCAGTATTTCAGAAATTCTCGAAATTTGACGTCATTTCCAAAAACTGGCGAAATTCTTGGAAAAANCCTCCTATCAACTTATGTTCTCCTGATACAAAATCGAATTTTTGGCTAAAAGTTTTAATTTTCTTCAAATATTTGAAAAATTTCAGGAATTTGACATCATTTCCAAGAATCCTGAAAATTCCAAGAATTTGACGTCATTTTCCTGGAATTTTAAATGTTCTCAGAATTTGACGTCATTTCCAAGAATTGGCAAAATTCCTGGAAAAATTTCTCGGGCGACCTCCTATCAATTCATGTTCTCCTGATACAAAATCGAATTTTCAGGCAAAGTATTAATTTATTTCAAGAATTTGGAAAATTCCAGGAATTTGACGTCATTTCCAAGAATTGGCAAAATTCTTGGAAAAATTTTTCATGCGACCTTCTGTCAACTTATGTTCTCCTAATACAAAATCAAATTTTCGGCCAAAAATTTCAATTTTCAGAATTTCAGAAATTCTCGAAATTTGACGTCATTTCCAAAAACTGGCGAAATTCTTGGAAAAATTTCTCGAGCGACCTCCTATAAACTTATTTTCTCCTAATACAAAGTCGAATTTTCGGCCAAAAGTTTCAATTTCAAGAATTTCAGGAATTTGACGTCATTTCCAAGAATTGGCAAAATTCCTGGAAAAATTTCTCGAGCGACCTCCTATCAACTCATGTTCTCCTGATACAAAATCGAATTTTCGGGCAAAGTTTTAATTTATTTCAAGAATTTGGCAAATAGTTTATGAAATTTTTCCTTAAATATAATTTTATACTTCTTATATTTTTATATACTTACTTTTTAATACTATTGTATTGTTTTTGAAAGCAGGTTTTGTGTTTTTGGTCTGCTTGAGCACAAAGGACAACATCGGTGCATTGAAAAGCATGGTCCTGATGGTAACTTTACTCATCCAGTTATATCTTTACGCCTACGCTGGCGACGCTCTCGAATCTCGAACCGGAGAAATCGCACAAGCCGCCTTCCATTCATTCTGGTACCAATCTCGAGGACGCACGGCAAGAGATCTAATACTGATAATCTGTCGTGGAAATTCCTCTTACCATGTGACAGCTGGTAAATTCGTTTTCATGAATATATTCACCTTTAAAGAGATACTGAAAAGTTCAGCCTCCTATCTATCCGTCTTGAGAGTAATGATGGACACGTGAAAATTGTTTGATTATCAATATTATGTATTCATCTCACAATATTTGATATACTCTTCAGTGGTGTAATAAAGATGGTATTATTACTATTCGATGAGAAAAAACAACGAGATATTTTCCTACTAAAGAAATTCCTCCCTAAAGAAATTTCCAATAAAGTATTTTCAAAAACTTATAATTGTACCGTCGCGTTGAAAAGAATAGAATTGATATATTTCAGTTGTTTTCTACTTTTCCTTTCTCTATGACAAAATAGTTCTTCGTATTTCTTCATTGTCATATTTTCAATCTAACTACTTGATGAATGAATATTGAATGTAAAATAAAAAACACACACTAGTTTTCGAAGCAAATATTCATCAGCTTTTTTATTATTTATATCAAAATACAACAAGAAAATGTCTACAATGTAACAACTTTCGACGAAATTTTCTTGATAACACGCAGTTGATATAGAAATGGTAACATCCTGAATAGATAGATAGTTAAGTGATTATAGCTGAATAAAAGATGATTCGAAAAATACAACGCGCAACTATGTGGAAAAAGAAAAGGAAGGAGAAGTTACATTGTATTCAAGTATTACTTAAGTATGATCGATTGACGATTTCTTATACCGTGCTGAAAAAATGAAGACAACATCGAACAAAGACTTCGCTTACGCTATGACCCCGTTGAAGTTCTTGTCATGGCCCTTAGGTACCTGGCCACTTCAGGTGTTCAATACATTCTCGATCATTCGTGCCATGTTTTCAACTTTTCTTGTGGTATGAAGTTTTTGCGTCATTATGTCTCTCAACTAATGATTAATCAGGATTTAAGTATCGTTCTATTGCAGTTGCTAATGCTAGCGATACTACAAGTGGAATTATATTTGGACAGAAGCAACGCGGAAAATAATCTAGATGCTCTGGTATTAATCAATGGAGGCATTTTGGCAGTGGCAAAGGTAACGTGTTTTCGTGTACGGCCCATAGGACTTATCTCCAATTTTACTTCAGCGGTTAAGGATTACAACGAATTAAACAGTGAAGAGAATCGAGTGATTGTGCGCCGACACGCTTACATGGGTAGAGTAGCGTGCGCCAGTTTAATATTTTGCTCGTATGTCGGCTCCACGCTTTTCATGACTGTGCCTATGCTTGCTGGGGATGAAGAAGAAGTGATTAATGTAACGGAAGAAAGTGCAATAAAATATCCTATGCCATCTGAAAATACATTAACACTTATAAATATGCCGAAAAATATGTACTTCGTGATTTTTATTGTTGAATATTTAATGTTGCTATTTACGAGCACTGGAAATCTAGGTAATGATTTATCACGCACATAAATATCAATACTTGTTCGGGATATGATTTTAGTATTAAAATGTTTTGTTTAATTTTAAATATTTAGGTAGTGATTCATTGTTTTTTGGTATTGCGTTTCATTTGTGCGGCCAAGTGGAGATTTTGAGACTAGAATATAATAAATTGTCCAACGAGAACGAAAGAACAACGAAACATATTACTTTGTTAACCAGGAGGCACATTTACTTGTTGAAACTAAGCGACATGTTGAATGAAACAATTAGCTCTATTTTGGTCATACAATTATTTTCAAGTTGTGTGCTTATATGCACAACCGGTGAATATTTGCAATAGTTTTATTTCACTTAATAAAATAATATTTGATTAAACACAATAGCATAAATTTATTTAAGTGCATTCAATTTATAGAAATTTATATCTGTTTCTAGGATTTGAATTTATTCTCGCTTTGAGCATTGGAAATGTCGTCATGACAATAAAAACATTTATAGTAATGTGCGTGCTCTTAATACAATTATTCGCATATAGTTACGTGGGTGAATATTTAAAAACTCAAACTGAAGATCTTGGTAATTCGGTGTATTTCTGTACTTGGTACGATATGCCAAAAAATGTGTCACAAAACATTATTTTTATCATTATGAGAGCTCAACATCCTGTTCTCTTGATGGCTGGGAAATTCTTTGTTGTCAACATGGAAACGTATATGAGTATTTTAAAAACTTCGATGTCGTATCTTTCAGTTCTCCGAGTGATGGTAAATTCTTAAAATTTTTATATTGAAGTAAATATTTTAAGAATGTGAAAGAATCTAAAAATTTATATCAGTATGATAAAGCACAATAAAATATTAAATATTACATATTTCGTTATCTATTAATGTCAAATACTCAAATTCTAATCATTTTTATTGTCAAAAATGTACAATAGATATCGTTTCTGTAGTTTATAATAAATAATAATTTTTGAAGTAAATAACAGATGGCACTGTGATGTTGTTTGACATGGCTACATTATCTAATACAACAAACAATAATGCAGATCAACAGATCACAGTGCCACCATGCGGTACAAAAATCATATATAACAACTAGCATATTTTTCTTATAATTAGTTGAAAATGATTAAAAATGAATAAATTGTTCAAATATCAAATATATAACGGTACTCCATAATCTTTTGTAAATATAAATATTTAATATTCAATATATTTGATTTAATATGTATTTATTAATGATAAATTTTGCATTATAATCACATTTGCTTTGAATGCGCGAAAATATTTAAATTATATATATATTATATGTATATACATACATATGTTAACATAAAATGTGATTTAATTAATTAGAATCGTGATGTAATCTTATTACTATTTTGTATTAAATTGAACGTACTTACATATATTATGCATGCATTTCTAATCTTAGAAAAAAATTAAAATGATTTTTCAACGAATTATATTTATTTAAAAAAGTGATTAGTATAACGGAAGAATTTTTCTAAATACTTTTGAAATTTTTAAAATTAAAAAAATTGTAAAAAAAAAATGTTTATAAATAAAATAAAAATGCAGATAAGAAATGAATAACAAAAGTAAGTATTTCTAGAATTAAGAAAAATATATCAAAAAGTGTAATATTGTAAAAATGAAAATTTTAAAAGATGAGTATAAAAATAATAAGTACGTCACAGATAAGTATATAAAATTAAAAATATACATGAAAATGCAAAATTTTATCAAAATTTGAATGAATGGAGAAATTTAATAAAAGCATTTTATTCGAAAGTTTTAATGTACTAAGACAAATTCTAATAACAAAAAAGATTCGTGAAATATTACCATAATTATTAGTTATTTTTTTTATAATTTTTATATTCTTATATATACACATTTTAATACTTACATTTTAATACCGTCTAAGTTGTTTTCTTTTCTTTTAAGAAATAGGATCTTTTAGATACGAGAAAACAATTCTTCATGTTTCCATTTTATCATATTCTTAACTTAACAACTTGTAAATATTTTTTTGAATAAGCCTTTAGAAACTCAGACCAATTTTCGAAGCAAATGCTCATGGGTTTCTATTATTCATATCGAAGTATAGCAATAAAGTGTCTACAAAAGTAATAACTTCAGTTGGAATTTTCTTAGTGACAGTTGATATAGAAATAGAACCGTCTTGAACGATAGATAGTTAAGTGATTACAGCTGAATAAAAGATGATTCAAAAAATACAACGCATCGCTATGTGCAAAAAGAAAAGAGAGGAAAAGGATACATTGGATTCAAGTGCAACTGAGTATGATCGATTGACAATTTCTTACATCGTGACAATTTCTAAAAAAATGAAGACAACATCGAACAAAGACTTCACTTACGCTATGACTCTGTTGAAATTCCTGTCATGGCCCGTAGGAACTTGGCCTTTTCAACTGTACGATACATTTTCACTCACACGTACCATATTTTCAATTTCACTTTTGGTACGAAGTTTTAATATCGTCGTATCTCTTAAATTATGATTAATATCGTTTAAGAATCGTTTTATTACAGTTGCTTATGATAGCAATCGTGCAAGTGGAATTATATTTGGACAGAAGCAACGCGGAAAATAATCTAGATGCTCTTCTAATTATTAATTGCGGCATTTTGGCAGTGGCAAAAGTGATGAGTTTTCGTGTACGTTCCACAGGACTTGTCTCCAATTTTTCTTCTGCGGTTAAGGATTACAACGAATCAAACGATGAAGAAAATCGAGTGATTATGCGTCGGCACGCTTACATGGGTAGAGTTGCATGCGCCAGTTTAATATCTTGTTCGTATGTATGCTCCACGCTTTTCATAACTGTGCCTATGTTTGCTGGGGACGAAATAGAAGTGATTAATGTAACGGAAGAAAGTATAAAATATCCCATTCCATCTAAAAATGCATTGGCAATTATAAATATGCCGGATAATTTGTATTTCGTGGTTTTCATCGTAGAATACATGATGCTACTATTCACGAGTATTGGGAATCTAGGTAATGATTCATTATATCAAATATTCTGTATTAAAATGTTTTTTTTTTTTTTTTTTCTTTATCTATTAGGTAGCGATTCAGTGTTTTTCGGTATTGTTTTTCATTTGTGCGGTCAAGTGGAGATTTTGAAACGAGAATATAGTAAATTATTCTACAAAAACGATAAAATAACGGAACATTTTATTTTATTAATCAAAAGGCATATTTATTTGTTAAATCTGAGTAAGATGCTGAATGAGACAATTAGTTCTATTCTGGTCGTACAACTTTTTTCAAGCTGTATTCTTATATGTACAACTGGTGAATATTAGTATTTTTATTTCATTTCGTGAAATAACAGCGTAATATTATTTAAGTTTGCTATAACAATGACCGATTCTATTTCTAGGATTTCAATTTATTCTCGCTTTGAGCATTGGAAATATTGTCTTGACGATAAAAATACTTATAATAATGTGCGTACTCTTGATACAACTATTCGCATATAGTTACGTGGGTGAATATTTGAAGAATCAAACTGAAAGCGTCGGTAATTCGGTGTATCTTTGCACTTGGTATGATATGCCAAAAAATATATCCAAAGATATTATTTTTATTATTATGAAAGCTCAACGTCCAGTTCTCTTGACAGCTGGAAAAATCTTTGTTGTTAACATGGAAACATATATAAGTATTTTAAAAACTTCGATGTCGTATCTTTCAGTTCTCCGAGTGATGGTAAATTCTTAAAATTTTTATATTGCAGCAAATATTTTAAGAACATAAAAGAATTTAAAAATTTGTATTAATATAGTAAATTTATATTAGTGAAATAAAATGTAATAAAATATTAAATGATACATTCTTGGTGATCCACTAACATCAAATACTCGAATTCAAATCATTTTAGTGTTGAAAATGTACAGATATCCTCTCAGTAGACTGTAATAAATGATTTTCGAAATGTATAACAGATGGCACTGTGATGTTATTTGATATATGGATAATGCAACAAACAACAATGATCAACAGTGCCATCATGTGGCATAAAAAACACATATGGATAGCATTCCTCTCTTATAATTAATTGAAAATGATTGGAAATGATTAGATTATTCAAATATTAAATGCATTATTATTAGCAATATTCTATAAACTTATGCAATTGTAAATGAATAATATTTTATGTTTGATTTAATAATATATATTTATAAACGATAAATCTTGCATCATAATCACATTGTGTTTTTTAAATGCGCAGAAATATTTGAAATACATACATATGTAATACATGTAAATATAGAATGTTTAATTAATTAAAATTGTGATGTGATCTTATTATTGTTTTTTAATGAACGTATATGTTATGTACTTATATGTTATATAATCTTCAAATAAGATTGAAATGATTTTTCAAAAAAGTATATTTATTTAAAAAAAGACTTAAATAATTACTTTAAATACTTCTGAAATCTTTAAAATCAAGAAATTGTAAAAAAATATTCATAAATTGTAAAATAAAAATGTAAATAGAAGAAATAGTAAAGATAAATACTTATAAAATTAATAAAAATAATATAAAAATGTACAATATTGCGAAAAATGAAGATATGATAATAGAAAGATAAGTACAAAAACTATAAGTATTTCATAACTAAATATATAAAATTAGATTAAAAAGATATGTTTTTGTGGATATCAAAAATTTTTCTTATATTATATTCAATTCATTTCTTATATTATATTCTAATACAAATTCGAAATTTTTGATAAAAAATTAGTTCAAAATTTCCTTTTATCGAATTATATTTTTTATAAATTTAATTATAAATATTTTCTATGACATGCAGAAATGTATATAAAATATATATAAAAATATACATAAAAATGCAAAATTTTTGGAAATATTATTATATAAAGATAAATGTATTAGAAAAAAAATCTTCATAACAAAAATATTTCTATAATTTAAAGTAATTATCTGTCTGATGTTTCTTACTTACATTATAATGCCATATTCAAATCAGATTTCACTTTTTTAGTCTTCCTTCAAGACAAAAACCAAATATATATACAATATATTACTTTACGCCTACACTGGTAACCGAAGAAACCGCATAAAGCATCTTCTCGGAGAACATATGGAGTAATATATTAAGATAATTTGTCCTCGAAATTCAATTTACTATGACAGCTAGGAAACTTGTTATTATAAATATATTCATCTTCAAAGATATTAAAAAGTTTCTTTCTGTCTGTTAAAAATAATGACGGATATATGAAAATTATTTGATTATAAATGTTATATATTCATTTCACAATTTCGATCTCTTCATGTTCGATAAATCTTTTATAACAAAGATGATATTATTCCATGAGGGAAAAATAAGACATATTTTCAAATTTTTNATTTGATTATAAATGTTATATATTCATTTCACAATTTCGATCTCTTCATATTCGATAAATCTTTTATAACAAAAATGATATTATTCCATGAGGGAAAAATAAGATACATATTTTCAAATTTTTGGATAATGTTAATTCACAAAACATATTATAATCTATAAAATATTATATTAAATATTTTATACTTCTTTTGTATTAAATATATCAGCATAATATATCAATAGAATATGTGTTCATAAAAAGATATTTCGAATAATACAATTTTTAAGAATTCCGTTTGCATTTTTTGCTCGTGTTAAAAGTAATTGCAATTTAATTAACATTAAACATTTTAGTTGTTTTTTATTTTTCTTCTAAGAAAAATAGAATTTTTTAGTTATGCGAGAACGGTTCTTTACTTTTTCACATTTCTTGCAAAAAATGTTTCTTTCGAATGAATTCACTTTAGAAACTCAGACTAATTTTAGAAATAAGAAATAAGGAATAAGTAAATGCTCACTGACATGAGATTCTATTATTCATACCGAAGTATAAGGAACAAAGTATCTACAACGTAATAACTTCCATCGGAATTTTCTTACGCGCAGTTCAGATAAAAATGGTAACATCTTGAACGATGGATAGTTAAGTGATTATAGTTGAATAAAAGATGATTCGAAAAATACAACGCGTCAGTCACTATGTAGAAAAAGAAAAGGAAGGAAAAGTTACATTGTATTCAAGTATTACTGATCGATCGATGATTTCCAACATCGTCCTAAGAAAATGAAGACAACATTGAACAAAGAATTTGCTTACGCTATGACTCCGTTGAAATTCCTGTCGTGGCCCGTAGGAACTTGGCCTTTTCAAGTGTACGATATATTTTCACTCACACGTACCATATTTTCAATATCACTTATGGTACGAAGTTTTAATATTATTGTATCTCTCAACTTATGATTAATATTGTTTAAGAATCGTTTTATTACAGTTGCTCATGATAATAATCGTGCAAATGGAAGTATATTTGGACAGAAGCAACGCGGAAAATAATCTAGATGCTCTTCTATTAATTAATTGCGGCATTTTAGCAGTGGCAAAGGTGATGTGTTTTCGTATACATTCTGTAGGACTCGTTTCCAATTTTTCTTCTGCGATTAAGGATTATAACGAATTAAACAGTGAGGAAAATCGAGTGATTGTGCGCCGACACGCTTACATGGGTAGAGTAGCGTGCGCCAGTTTAATATTTTGCTCGTATGTCGGCTCCACGCTTTTCATAACTGTGCCTATGCTTGCTGGGGATGATGAAGAAGTGATTAATGTAACGGATGAAAGTGCAATAAAATATCCCATTCCATCTAAAAATATATTGGCAATTATAAATATACCGGAAAATATGTATTTCGTGGTTTTCATCATAGAGTACATAATGCTGCTACTTACGAGTACTGGAAATCTAGGTAATGATCTGTACATAAATATCAGTACTTGTTCAGGATATGATTTCGATATCAAAATATTTTATTTCATTTTAAATATTTATTAGGTAGTGATTCGTTGTTTTTTGGTATTGCTTTTCATTTGTGCGGTCAAGTGGAAATTTTGAGATTAAAATATAATAAATTATCCAACGAGAACGAAAGAACAATGAAACATATTAGCTTATTAACCAGGAGGCACATTTACTTGTTGAAACTAAGTGACATGTTGAATGAAACAATTAGCTCTATTTTGGTCATACAATTATTTTCAAGTTGTGTGCTTATATGTACAACCGGTGAATATTTGCAATAGTTTTATTTCACTTAATAAAATATTTGATTAAACATAATAACATAATTTTATTTAAGTGCATTCAATTTATAGAAATTTATATCTGTTTCTAGGATTTGAATTTATTCTCGCTTTGAGCATTGGAAATGTCATCATGACAATAAGAATATGTATCGCAATGTGCGTGCTCTTAATACAATTATTCGCATATAGTTACGTGGGTGAATATTTAAAAACTCAAACTGAAGATCTTGGCAATTCGGTGTACTTCTGTACTTGGTACGATATGCCAAAAAATGTGTCACAAAACATTATTTTTATCATTATGAAAGCTCAACATCCTGTTCTCTTGACGGCTGGGAAATTCTTTATTGTCAACATGGAAACGTATATGAATATTTTAAAAACTTCGATGTCGTATCTTTCAGTTCTCCGAGTGATGGTAAATTCTTAAGATTTTTATATTGAAGTAAATATTTTAAGAACATGGAAGAATCTAAAAATTTATATTAATGTAACAAAGCACAATAAAGTATTAAATATTATATTCGTGATCTATTAATCAAAATTACTTTAATTTGAATCGTTTTAGAATTGAAAATGATCATATTGTGCAATAGATATCGTTTCAGTTTAATATAATAAATGAATATTATAATAAATTTTCGATATGAATAATAAATAATACTGTAATGTTGTTTAACATACATAATCTGACACATTAATCAATCACAAACAACAATGCAGATCACTAGATCACAGCACTATCATATAGCACAAAAATCACATGAATACTAGTATATTTTTTTTAAAATTAGTTACAAATGATTATTTAAATACAAAATGCATAGCTCATGCAAAAGAATGACACTTTATGTAAAATAAAATACTTAATTTTTATTTAATGTTATGTTTAATTTAATAATATGTATTTATTGCCGATAAATCTTTCATTGCAATCACGTTTCGTATTTTAATTGCGAAATACATATGTAATTCATGTAAACATATATATATATATACATGTAAATACATGTAATATAGAATGTAATTTAATTAATTAGAATCATAATGTAATCTTACTATCATTTCGCAATGGACATATTTAGATATATTATGCATGCTTTCTAATCATCAAAAAAAATTGAAATCGTCTTTCGACGAAAAAATATATTTCTTAAAAACGATTTGCTTTAAATATTTCTTTACGATTGAAAAAAATTGTAAAAAATATTATTTCCGTGTGAAGAGGAATTGATAAATTTCGGTGTGAAGAGGAATTGATAAATTTGGGTGTGAAAAGGAATTGATAAATTTCGATGTGAAGCGGAATTGATAAATTTCCGTGTGAAGCGGAATTGATAAATTTCCGTGTGAAAAGGAATTCATAAATGAGCGAATGAAGAGGAATTGATAAATTTCGATGTGAAGAGGAGTTGATAAATTTGAATGTGAAGAGGAATTGATAAATTTCCGTGTGAAGAGGAATTGATAAATGAGCGAATGAAGAGGAATTGATAAATTTCGATGTGAAGCGGAATTGATAAATTTCGGTGTGAAGAGGAATTGATAAATTTCGATGTGAAGAGGAATTGATAAATTTCGATGTGAAGAGGAATTGATAAATGAGCGTGTGAAGAGGAAATATTATAAGTATAAATTGTACGAGTGAGGAAATTATACGAGCGAGATCAAGATATGAGTTGAAAGAGGAGAGGGAAGGAAGGTGGAATCGAAAAAGAAAAATGCAAATAAGAAATGAGTAAAGGTAAATATTTCTAGAATCAAGAAAAGTACATAGAAAGTATATACAATTTTGAGAAAAGTTCGCTTCACGCGCTCAATTATCAATTCCTCTTCACATCGAAATTTATCAATTCCTCTTCACATCGAAATTTATCAATTCCTCTTCACACCGAAATTTATCAATTCCTCTTCACATCGAAATTTATCAATTCCTCTTCACACCGAAATTTATCAATTCCTCTTCACATCGAAATTTATCAATTCCTCTTCACACCGAAATTTATCAATTCCTCTTCACACCGAAATTTATCAATTCCTCTTCACACCGAAATTTATCAATTCCTCTTCACACCGAAATTTATCAATTCCTCTTCACACCGAAATTTATCAATTCCTCTTCACACCGAAATTTATCAATTCCTCTTCACACCGAAATTTATCAATTCCTCTTCACACCGAAATTTATCAATTCCTCTTCACACGGAAATTTATCAATTCCTCTTCACACGGAAATTTATCAATTCCTCTTCACACGGAAATTTATCAATTCCTCTTCACACCGAAATTTATCAATTCCTCTTCACACGGAAATTTATCAATTCCTCTTCACACGGAAATTTATCAATTCCTCTTCACACGGAAATTTATCAATTCCTCTTCACACGGAAATTTATCAATTCCTCTTCACACGGAAATTTATCAATTCCTCTTCACACGGAAATTTATCAATTCCTCTTCACACGGAAATTTATCAATTCCTCTTCACACGGAAATTTATCAATTCCTCTTCACACGGAAATTTATCAATTCCTCTTCACACGGAAATTTATCAATTCCTCTTCACATTCAAATTTATCAACTCCTCTTCACATCCAAACTTGTCAATTTCTCTTCACATCGAAATTTATTTATGAATTCCTTTTCACATGGAAATTTATCAATTCCGCTTCACACGGAAATTTATCAATACCGCTTCACACGGAAATTTATCAATTCCGCTTCACATCGAAATTTATCAATTCCTTTTCACACCCAAATTTATCAATTCCTCTTCACATCGAAATTTATCAATTCCTCTTCACACGGAAATTTATCAATTCCCTCTCCCTACCGAATCTAATTATTTTTAGCTACAAAATTTTTTTTTTTTCCCTCACTTTGTTCGATCGATTTATGGATGAAACAGATACGAATAAGTATAAATTGTACGAATTAGTATAATTGTATAAATTGTAATTGTAATTGAGTGAAGAAATTATACGAGCGAGATCAAGGTACGAGTTGAAAGGCGGAGAGGGAAGGAGGGTGGAATCGAGGGTGGAAGAACGTGGGAAGAAGAAGTTATTTTCAGTGGGAAGAGAAACGAGTCGAACAATTTCGGCTTTGATGTGTACTACGGTCAAACGGAGAAAAGATTTTCGTTCTCTTTAATTTAGCCCTCGACAAGAGCATTGGGATTTTGTCTGTTATCGTTGCTTCTTTTTCCTCTCCCCTTCTCTTCTCTTCCTTTTTTTATTTTTCTTCTCTCGATCCGCACTCGATTGTCCACCTCCCCTTGCTCAACCGTGTAATCTCGTTCTCCCTTTTTTTCAGCCCTCCTTCCCCTGGAAAAGGAACAAGTGACCGATTCCTCACCCGGTAATGAGTTCGATTCTCGATCGTTCGAACAAATTTCGATAGATCTCCAAAACGTTTTCGTTTATATATATTTTTCATCGTTGAGAATAATATAGTAATAAAATTAGAAGAAAAGAAAAGGGAGAAGAAGGACATTTTGCTAATTGTTTCGTTTCGACTCGAAAAGAGAGAGAGAGAGAGAGAGGAGAGAAATCTTTCTTGATTGCTCGACAAAATCGAGGAGAAGGAGGAGGAGTATTATTCCAGCCCGATGATTAAGATCCAAGATACAAATATTCCGTTGATCAAAAGCGTCTTATACCAAGTTTGCTCGAACAATGTTTAATCGTTATCATCGTTATCTAGACTCCAGCTTTGTGGAAGAAAATGTTTGAAATTTATAGCGGCTGTTCTACTATAGCTACGGGGACGGGAATCAGAGGCGAAGACCGTCCTCCTCCTCGGTAATATTGCTTTAATTTCGTCGAGAGTTTGCAGCCGCGTTGGTTTCAGTTGGTTAAACGAAAAGGCAAACCAGAACCAAGGAATGTTAGGAAAAGTATTGTAGAAAGATGAGCAGGTAAATATTTCCAACCTGAAAATTAGTTAGTTTTCTATTAATTTCTTTCCCAGATCATTATTTCGAACGATAATATACATATTTATAACGATTATATACATATTTGGACAATAAAAGTTTCCAAATCTCCCTCCTCGTCTTTTCATCTTGGAATTTTTTAGACAAAAATATCGACACTCCTCTGTTCGAGATCTGAAATCGCGACGAAGATCGAGATATAAGGGAAAAGTTTTTCAAAGAGTTAAAGCACAAACTTTAGCGTAACTTCGAAAGCGTCTCGTAAGGCTTCGTTTCTCGAAGAAGACTCTAGTTTATTGATAATTAGAAATTTCTCAATTCCTCTTCACACGGAAATTTATCAATTCCTCTTCACACGGAAATTTATCAATTCCTCTTCACACCGAAATTTATCAATTCCTCTTTACACGATCGTTTATCAATTCCTCTTCACACGAAAATTTATCAATTCTTCTTCACATCGAAATTTATCAATTCTTCTTCACACCGAAATTTATCAATTCCTCTTCACACGGAAATTTATCAATTCCTCTTCACACCGAAATTTATCAATTCCTCTTCACACGGAAATTTATCAAAAGCACAAACTTTAGCGTAATTTCGAAAGCATCTCGTAAGGCTTCGTTTCTCGAAGAAGACTTTAGTTTATTGATAATTAGAAATTTTCCTGTTTCCTTCTTCTCCTCGATCGTCGGTCATCGTTGCTCCAATCTTTTCGTTATTCCATTTCCATCCGTATTTCTGTATTTCTTCTTCGAAATTCGAGTCTATTAAAAAAAATATATATATCTAGAAATATGTATATACATAAATAAGTAGCAAGAGATTAGGAATAAATAACGCACGATTCGACGATTCAATAAGCGAATCCTTCGAGCCAACGGTCCCCCTCCGATCGCTTTTAAACTAATGGCTCTCTCTTTAATTAGAAATTCGAGACTTGAAACATCGGTCGAAATACATTATCGGATAAATAATTAAGGGAAAATATGCATTCGCAATTACTCGATTCGGTCGAACGCGGAGATTCGATGCGAGCGCGTAAAGAAAAAGAAATAAAATGAAATAAAATAGAATAATATAAAGGAACGAAGGAAAGACATCCTTCTCGCGATCAATCGGATGAAAAGTATAATTTTGGAGTACGTAATGAATTACCTTATCGAAGCGAAAAGAGGAGAGAATTTTTATTAAATTTTTGTTTAAACTTTGATGAGACTTTCATTTGATCGATCGATCGGTCCTCTAGTTATACATACGAGAATTACACTTTTTATTGCTTTTTTTTTCAGAACGGCGTTTCGGTAATTGATCGAAATTGCGTTTAAATTCATTTCCATCGAGGGAACCGCAACGATTCATCAACAACCTGAAAATATTTATTTCTTTAGATTTTCAGGAAAATATTTCTCCTGAAATATTTCTGAAATTTAATATAGTTATTTTTTTTTATATTTCTTATATTCTTATATACTTACGTGTTCATATTTCAATAATGTTTCAATTTAAACAGATTTCATGTTTTTAGTCTTTTTTAAATACAAAGGATTAATGCATTGAAAATTGTGATTTCGATTGTAATAGATGCAAATATCTACACTGGCGATCGAAGAAATTGCACAAGTTAACTTTCATTTATTACAATTTCGAAAATGCATATCGAGAAATCTGATATTGGTAATTTATCATCGAAATTTATTTAAGTAATTTGGAAAACTTGTTTTTGAAGTTTAGTCTTTTATCTATCGATCTGAAAAATAATAATGAGGATGTGAAAATTATTTACTTATAAATGTTATGTATTTTCGATATTTAACAATTTTCGATATGTCCCTTATAATAAAAATATTTGATAAAAAAAATATTTGATAAAAAAAACAATAAGATATTTTTTCAAATTTTTACATAAATATTAATGCATAGAATATACTATATTCTAATAGATGATAGAATTTTAATTTGGACTAATGTATAAAAAAAAATTTCCGATAATTCAATTTTTAAGAATTCCGTTTACAATCCTTTGCCATGTTAAAAATAATCGCAATTTAAACATTTCAATTGTTTTCTACTTTTCTTCTAAGAAATAGGATCTTTTAGTTATAAGAAAACAGTCCTTTCCTTTTTTCAAATGTTATATTCCTGGCTTGCAAAGAATATTTTTTTAAATGAACCTTTAGAAACTTAGACCAATTTTCGAAGCAAATGCTCATAGGTTTCTATTATTCATATCAAAGTATAGCAATAAAGTACCTACAAAAGTAATAACTTCCGTCGGAATTTTCTTAGTGACGACAATTGATATAGAAATGGAAAAGTCTTGGACGATAGATAGTTAAGTGATTATAGCTAAATAAAAGATGATTCGAAAAATACAACGCGTCGCTATGTGCAAAAAGAAAAGGGAGAAAAAGAATACATTCAAGTATTACCGAGTATGATCGATTGACGATTTCTTACATCGTTCTAAAAAAATGAAGACAACATCGAACAAAGACTTCACTTACGCTATGATTCCGTTGAAATTCTTGTCATGGCCCGTAGGCACTTGGCCTTTCCAAGTGCACGAAATATTTTCAATCTCACGTACCATATTTTCAATTTCACTTTTGGTATAAAATTTTTTTATATCATTGTGTCTCACATGTTATGATTAATTGTGTTTAAGAATTATTTTATTGCAGTTATTGATGGTAGTGATTTTACAAGTGGAATTATATTTGGACAGAAGCAACGCAGAAAATAACCTAGATGCTCTTCTATTAATTAATTGCGGTATTTTAGCAGTGGCAAAAGTGATGTGTTTTCGTATACGTTCTATAGGACTCGTTTCCAATTTTTCTTCTGCGATTAAGGATTACAACGAATTAAACAGTGAAGAAAATCGAGTGATTATGCGCCGGCATGCATACATGGGTAGAATAGCATGCGCCAGTTTAATATCTTGCTCGTTTATCGCGTCCACGCTTTTCATGACTGTGCCTATGCTTACTGGCAAAGACAAAGAAGAAATAATTAATGTAACGGAAAAAAGTATAATAAAATATCCTATTCCATCTAAAAATGCATTGGCGATTATAAATATGCCGGAAAATTTGAGTTTCATGGTTTTCATCATAGAATACATGATGCTATTATTCACGAGTACTGGGAATCTAGGTAATCATTCATTATATTAAATATTTTTTTATGAAAATGTTTTTTTTTTTTTATATAGGTAGCGATTCATTGTTTTTCGGTATTGTTTTTCATTTGTGTGGTCAAGTGGAGATTTTAAAATTAAAATATAATAAATTGTCCAATACGAACGAAAGAACAATGGAACATATTATTTTATTAACCAAAAGACATATTTACTTGTTGAATCTGAGTAAGATGCTGAATGAGACAGTTAGTTCTATTTTGGTCATACAACTTTTTTCAAGTTGTGTACTTATATGTACAACTGGTGAATATTCGTATTATTTTTACTTTATGACATTTAATAAAACATAACAAAATAGTTTTAAGTGTATTTGATTTATAAAATCTACAAAAATAATTTACAATTATTTCTAGGATTTCAACTTATTCTCACTTTGACTTTTGGAAATGTCGTCTTGACGATAAAAATACTTGCAGAGATATCCATTCTTTTGATACAATTGTTCGCATACAGTTACGTAGGTGAATATTTAAAGAACCAAACTGAAAGCATCGGTAATTCGGTGTACTTCTGTACTTGGTATGATATGCCAAAAAATATATCCAAAGATATTATTTTTATTATTATGAAATCTCAACGTCCAGTTCTCTTGACAGCTGGGAAATTCTTTGTTGTCAACATGCAAACATATATGAGTATTTTAAAAACTTCGATGTCGTATCTTTCAGTTCTCCGAGTGATGGTAAATTCTTAAGATTTTTATATTAAAGCAAATATTTTAACGATATAGAATAGTAATAAAAATTTATCTTAGTATATTTATATAGTGTAAATATAATATATTTTCGTGATTTATTGATAGTATTTTAAATATCTGGATTTCAAATCGTTTTAGAATCGAAAATATGTAATAGATCATCTCAATAACAATCAATAATTCGTGTAATATTCGAGAGATGGCATTGTGATTAAATTAGCCAATCACAACAGATTAGAACGCCATCAAGCGGCGCAAAGAACATATATGAATGCTAGCATACCTTTCTTAGTTAAGACTGATTAGAAATGATTTTTTTAAATATTTTTTTTATCAAATATCAAATTCATAAAGACATTATATAATTTCATGCAAATATGTTTAATATTTTATATGTTTGATTTAGTAACATATGTTTTTATTTTTTATTATGTAAAAGATTTTACTCACCGAGATTTTTTTCTTTAATTTTACTAAAAGTTACTTATATGTTTATCAGTAACTTTTTCATTCCTGTAACATGTTTCAAAAGCGCAAAAATATTTGAAATATATATTTAAAAATACAATATAGTTTAATTATTTATGGTTGCGATGTAAAGTTTTTATAATGAATTGAACGTATTTACATATAACATTGTGCATACCTTAACCTCAAAAAAGAGTTTAAATGTTTTTCGACGAAAAAGTATTTTTTTTTAAAAGTTCTGTCAAGAGAACTTAAGATGGCATATCGTTTGAGCAATAAAGAAAAATTTAAGTCATTTTTAAAAGTGACCAGTACCGCTACTGTTTTCTATGCCGGGGTCTGCATTTATCAGGGTGATGAAAACATTTACAACAAATTTGTCATGCCGTTTGTACAATTAATAGATCCCGAATTTACGCACAATTTCGCAGTGAAAATTTTAAAATGGGGTCTTTTATCTAAACCAAATGTAAATGATCCAGCTTCTCTTGCCATTGATGTTTGGGATTTGAAATTTAAAAACCCAATAGGGATGGCAGCTGGTTTTGATAAACAAGGTGAAGCAATAGAAGGCTTGCACAAAATAGGATTTAGTTTTGTAGAAATAGGTAAGAATTATAAAATGAATCGTAATTAAACAATGTTATATTATAACATTTATTACAGGATCGGTTACACCAAAACCTCAAGAAGGCAACTCCAAACCTAGATTATTTAGATTATTAGAAGACAATGCAGTTATTAATAGATATGGTTTCAATAGCAAAGGTTATGATACAGTGTGGAAATATTTACAAAAATTAAAAAAAAATCAGAACTTTAATGGTATCGTTGGAGTTAATTTGGGTAAAAATAAAACATCAGAAGATGCAGCTCAAGATTATATAGATGGTATTAAGAAATTCTCAGACGTAGCAGATTATTTTGTAATTAATATATCTAGCCCCAATACTCCTGGATTAAGAACATTGCAAAAAAAAGAAGATTTAGAAGATTTGTTAATAAAAATTAACAAAATCAGACGATCTATACAAAGCAATCAACCTTTACTATTGAAGCTCGCTCCAGATTTGTCCGATTCCGAGAAGCAGGACATTGCAAATGTAATACTTGAAGAGAAATCGAAAGTAGATGGTCTAATATTGTGCAATACTACAATAACGCGTAATAATTTATCGAGTCCTCTTAAAAACGAAACCGGAGGACTCAGTGGTGCACCTCTTACCGATATGTCAACCGCAATGATATCTGATATGTATAAACGAACGCAAGGTACTATTCCAATTATCGGAGTTGGTGGTATATTTAGTGGAGCAGACGCTTATAACAAGATTAAAGCTGGTGCTTCATTGGTACAAATATATACATCATTTATATTTATGGGGCCACCAGTTATAGGAAAAATTAAACGAGAATTAAATGATATGTTGAAACAAGATGGTCTGAAATCTATTAAAGATGCGATTGGAAAAGATGTCAATATTAGTAAATAATTATATATATAATAATTATTTGTTAAAATTATATTATTAAACTATATTATGTTAAAATTATTTTATATAAATGATTTCGTTTTTTTTTTCGTTTAATTGCTACAATTAATTTCTGTTTTGAAAATATGTATATTCTATATGTATATTCTAAGTATTCTATATAAGTAATAAAACAATATTTGTAATACGCAACAATAATATTAATTTTTTTCATCATTTTAAAATTTATAACGACTGACGTTCTTTGCGTAATATTTATTTAAGTAAGTTATACAAACATTTTTATTTTAAAATATGTGTTTCGTATAATTATTTAGTATAACTATTTAAAAGCATTAAAATATATCTGTGGTACCTGACGTGTTACAACTAACATATTTCATTTTTCGATCTGCGGTCAGATCTTACGTACACTATGATTAATACTCACTGGTAATGTCTTCTTTTCGCGACATACTTACATTAAAACGATTAAACAAATATCGGGACACACTTGGAAAAAGATTTTTACTCGAGCGCTTTAATATTCTTCTACTTTAGAATCAAAATAAATAAATGATAAAATCGTCAAAAAACAACTACGAATTAATTTCCTTATTATATCTTTTTCTACCCGCAATTACTTCTTAAAATCAATTTTTGGTACCATCGCTTTTAAACATTCTAACATCATCTACACATTGACAATATAAATAAATCGTGTATACTTTAATTAATAAAATACACGAGTATAATCGCTAAACTAGAAGCAACGAGAGATCGATAAAGAAATTGATCGTTATCAGGTTCACGGGCAATCCTTACACGTATTAACATTTTCAGGTACACAGTTACGATAACATTCGAGAAAAGGGTCAACGTTAATGCAAACCAAGATTTCCTCCCAGACCCTGTTCTTTCCTCCACTGTGCTAATCGGATAGAGTACCAAGCCTGGAAGATGCAACGTAAAAGAATATCGAATATCTTTTTTTAATGTAAATAATTTTTAAAATATTTCTTTTTTTCAGAAAACAAGTATAAAAACCTCGACATCGGCTTCGGAAAGTCCTGTCTCGGCCGCCAGTAGAACGATATCAGCTGTATGAGGTGCCCTCGGCCATCTATTGAACTGTTCCTGGAGAACAGCTTCTTGATCCGTGGTCAAACGAATGACTCGGGCATCGGATCCTCTGCTGGGATATTGCGGCGAGGCTGATTTCAACATTTTGCCTACAAACGAACAGAACCATCATCAGTGGTTGCACGCAAGGCGACAACGATGATAAGAGGAGGGAAAATCGCGACAATTATCGCGACAAAAGACAGTGTGAATCAGCGCGACGCATCGTCAATATAGGTCTTGAATATTCCCTTTTACGGATAACAAACACGCTGATACACCGTAAAAGCACGAGGATCGACCTCTCTCGGTAAATTGACTTTCGTTATATAATATGCGTCTCGCATTATCATTAGCTTGCAAGTTATACGACTAAGGCGTGGTAATCGTAATAGTTGTATAATAACGCCGGTTATTACGTAAACGTGTGCAATGTTGTTTTGTATTTATCTCATGTTATTTATTATTGTGCAAGATTAGGCGCGATTAACGCGCCAAGTCCTTAATTGGAAAGTCTTCATTCGACGAACAATTTAAGAATGGGAAGAAATTTATTTTGGAATGAAACGATTGTATTTCCCCGAATTTAAACGTCCAAATGATTTTTTTTTTACGATTCTTGGAGCGAACAACAGCTGTAAAAATCCAGGGGCGCGGAGAACGAAACGGAGGAACGAGAATAGCGCGACATTGACCCAACGTCAGGGACTCTACACGCTTTTGGATACATTTCAAGAGTCGATTACACGGGAACGGGAATAAGAAAAATCGTGTCTGGCTTGCTACGTCTGAATCGCGTGTCTCATCGTGCGTCTCGCATCGATTTTATGCTATTGTTCTCGGAAACGTGGCAAATTCAGGATCGAAATGGAAAATAGTAGCGCACGTAATATTTTTGCATTCCGGATGAAAGCAAATCGAAAGGAAGTTTTTCTATCTATGAAACGTAATGTGGAATCGCGTTACTTTTTTAAGTGGTAACGATTCCGTTCGTTAAAAATATAACATGATAATATTAACGAGGAAATGAAATACGAGGCGACAATAAAAAGGGGAAAAAATTTATATGGACGAGACACGACGTGGCCAATTTCCCGCTCGACTTTTAAAAATTTTTCCACTTACTCGGCTCGGTGAATCTCACTCTATGCGTCGATTTTTTCGGGACATAGCGATTCTTCGGATAAGAAGCGCTTCGTTCGCAAATGTAACACCTCCTTTCGTAAAAATACGAGGAATACTCGCTCATTTTTCGCGGAATGGAGAGTTGCGTTCAGCTCGGTCGAGAAGATGATGAACGTTCGTGTGCGCGGTTCACGCGCGACTGATTCCTACCTGGTTTCTCCGCAATTGATTTTGCGCGCGTTAAGCAATTTAAAAATGTAAATCGATGCGTACACGTAGGAGATGTTCAGCCTTGATAATAGATATGCACCGATCTAACGAAACACTCAACCGAGTCCACTTGCCAAAAAGGTTAATTATACAGTTCTGTTTCCGGTTCTGAATCACCGGTCCGTTAAGCCATCGAGTATTTGGCTCCCTTTCTTACGATCATCGATAAATTATCTCGCTATTTTTTTATTACGTTTAATAATAAACAACGAGCACTTGAACACGGGTATATTTTCTCTGCCGTGTTTTCTCACTGTGGAATTATTTTCACGGTTCGATCGATTCTAATCCTTCTCTAATGCGACGCTTTCTCTTCGAGATCAAGCGATTCTCGTTCTCCAAAGAGAGCATCAAATCGAACCCATCAACGATCTCACTCTAATACAAACGAGAGAGAGAGAGAGAGAGAGAGAGAGAGAGAGAATTCTGCCTCTTTAAACAGGCACGCCACGACATTTCAGTGACGACGTGTTTGTTGTTTCACGATGCGTAGGCGGCAAGTAGACGCTGCCTTGAGCCGTATGTTTATGGAGCAGCACGGCGGAATGTTAAACTTGACCCACAGATCGGATCGCATGCCGAGTAAATAGGCGCGGATGGAACGATCGAGGGCGTTTATTAAAAGTCGGTAACGTTCGTCCACCACGTGTAACGCGATCGGTTGCCAATACGTTCGTTGCGGTTTTTTGAAACCGTCGGGCCTCGATCGAAAATGCATGGCGCGAATTCGAGGCGTAAAATCATGTATAAAATAATAAAACTTGGAAGCTCGTTTCGCGATCTCTTTATTTTGAATCGAGAAAAAGGAGAAGAAGAAGAGGAAGAAGAAAAATATATATATATATATATATGTATATATAGAAATTAGGTTGCTCAAGAGTTTAGAAGTTGTACAGTGGGCTCTCCTTGATGTCTTCGTATAATTCGATCAATTTATCGGGCGTGCAATACACAGGTAGATCCTCTTGGCAGAATTGTAGAAAGTCGAGCAGATTCTCCTCGATCTCTTGTTGGTAAAAGGAACCAGCGAATCTCGATTGGATGGTTTGAAGATCGTTCTTTTGTATCTAGATGTTGGTTGGCACAACGTATTAACAGAGGTTTCGCTTTCGAAAGCTCGATTCGAACTCACCTCCTCCCATTTCGACCGTATTAGAGCATGTATGCAATCGTTAATCAAAGATTGGCCGGATATCGCCTACAAATAATATTTGTTTTTTTTTCTCTCTCTTTTTTTACTTTCACTTTCTTTCGTTTTTTTTTCTCTCTCTCTCTCTTACCGTTTTCGACAAGAGCGTGGCACGATTCTCCACCCGAAGACAGTCGAATTTATCGTAAAATATGGCCAGGGCCCACGGTTCCCGAAAGTATTCGAAAAAGTCCACTATCAGCGATTCCTGAATCACGAGAAAATTGCATTGTTCGAACGCTCGAAGAATGAATATGAGAAAGCTTTGCTTACTTTGAATCGCGTCTTTAAATTGTTCAACAGGCTCTCGTGTTTTCCCCACAACGAGCATATATGATCCACTTCGAAATTCTAAAAATTAACTTAATCCTAACTTTAATTTTGAAAAAAAAGAACGAGAGTTCCCTCTTTTTACCTTTTTGTTAAAACAGGTTATCGTCTCGATCACGTTGAACCGATTTAATCTTATCCGAAAGTAACCCATATCGGTTTTGCACGATCCCGTGATCAGCACTTGACCCTAAAACACTCGCAACAATTGAAAGAAAGATTTTTCGTCGGAAAAGAAGAAAGAATCGGTCAACAACACTCACGTAAATATCGAAACGAATCGCGATCTTGCGCGGCGTGTTTTTACCGCACTTTCGTACGTAAAGAAATCGATAACCACCGGGTACGATGCAGGCCACTATCAATGGTAATCGGAACACGTATACCGACTCGAAGGCTTTACGCTTCGATGGTATGGACGCTGGATCCTTGCCTTGATGCTCGTTTTCGATGAACGATCGAATGATTTTCGCCAACTATATTATACAAACGAGTTAAAATTCGAGGCGGTTCCCTAATCTTCGATATCTTAAAAATCACTTATTATCATGTTTCATTTGCAATTCGCATTTTATCAGGGCGACGAATTATTCTTAAGCTCGAGTTAAAGCTTCGAGAATGAAAGAATTCGCGAATTCTCGTATTTCGAGAACCGTTGCTCTGAACGATCTGTACGGAAATGTAGAACGTTGATCTACTAACTTTTTCGCCGATCTCGATTCTGTTGAAGTTTTTGTGCTGCCAAGACTCGCTGTAATACCTTCTGCAATACTTGGTTATGGTGCCAGCAGCGAAGATCGACGGATCGTTCGTTCTCAAGTCTGAATCTATGACCAATTGGCCGTCGAACATCAATCCGGATCTACAGATCGCTGAAACGGATCGATCGAATCGTGGTGAAACGCAACCCTCCAACACTCGTAAATTATACATTAACGATTGACGTGAAATATTGGCAATCACCCAAGAATATCTTCATGCCGATAGTCTTTTCGTAAAAGTTTATTAAAAAGTCGCAATTTATCACTTTGCTCTTGCCCTTCGACTTTATAATGATCGATTCGATCATTTTACCATTTGACGTGTTCTCCAAGTTCCAATTAATCAATTCCCATCCCATGATTATTTTGATGTTGCTCCTCGTGATCGACTCCATCACTTCCGTGTACACCTTGAACACGATTTCGAAATCAAAGTTTATCGAACGGAGGAGGGCAACAACGAGGAGGGCTTATTTTCTCGTACTTCGCAGTCGTCGAAGAACGCCTCGTCCTTGGCCGTGCACTGGGCCAACGGGGGATGGATCAACGTGATCCAAGAGCCATCCACTCCGAATTCTAGCAAACCTTGGAGAGCGCAGTAGCAATCTATGTTGTGCCCGTAAAAGACGATAATCTCTAAAAATAAATCGGAAAATTGATTAATATAGCATTCCGTCCATTCATGTGCCCGATCGATTAACTTTTCTTTTTCAAATTTTCCGTCTGCCTTTTTATCTTCTCCAGGCATACGGCCGCTTCCGTATCGTCGTTGATCGTCAACATGTTCCAAGGCACTTCGTTTTCCAAAAATTCTCTGCGCGAACCAATATCACCAATATTTTACCACATTTATTTTACCACATTTTTCTTTACTTTCTTTTTTTTTTTGTTCTTCGTTTATTACCCTTTCTTCTCGAGTTCCAACTCGTCGTAAAACTTGGGCTTTTGGTACTGCATCCCGCAGGTCAAGATCAAATAATCGTACGTGATGTTCCCTTGATGCAACACGGTCACGTATTTCTCCTTCCTGTTGATCATAACAGAATGCAATCTCGATTCTCGATCATCGATTCTCTTTCTACCTGTTAATCGTTATGACCGTCCCGTACACGATGTTGATCCAGACACGCGTGGGAATCTCCCGACGATATTTCCGGCAGTATCGGCCGGTGAACGGTATCATGCGATCGCTCAAATTGTTGTAATCATTGTCGTAAGGCAAACCGTTGGGCGATATCAAAGTGAGATTCGCGAATCGTACGAAATTGCAGCTAAAAAAAATAAATCTATGAAATTTTACCAACCTTCCTCCAACACCCTTCTTTCGAACGAAAGAAGGATGATTTTTTTAAAAAAGAAAAAACAAAAATCTGGAAAAATTTCGAAACACCAAGTGAGATTCGCAAATCGTATGAAATTGCAGCTAAAAAAATAAATCTATGAAACTTTACCAACCTTTCTCCAACACCCTTCTTTCGAACAAAAGGATGATTTTTTTAAAAAAGAAAAAACAAAAATCTAGAAAAATTTCGAAACACCAAGTGAGATTCGCGAATCATATGAAATTGCAGCTAAAAAAATAAATCTATGAAACTTTATCAACACCTTTCTTTCGAACGAAAGAAGAAGGTAATAAACAATCTTCTGATTCCGAATTTTTTAATTTCTTAAAAAAGAAAAATCTGGAAAAATTCCGAAATACTAAGTGAGATTCGCGAATCGTATGAAATTGCAGCTAAAAAAAATAAATCTATGAAACTTTACCAACCTTCCTCCAACACCCTTCTTTCGAACGAAAGAAGAAAATAGACAACTTCCTGATTTCGATTTTTTTAATTTCTTAAAAAAGAAAAAACAAAAATCTGGAAAAATTCCGAAACACTAAATGAGATTCGCGAATCGTACGAAATTGCAGCTAAAAAAAATAAATCTATGAAACTTTATCAACACCCTTTTTTCGAACGAAAGAAGAAGGTAGTAGATAACCTTCTGATTCCGATTTTTTTAATAAAGAAAAAACAAAAATCTGGAAACACCAAGTGAAATTCGCGAATCATATGAAATTGCAGCTAAAAAAATAAATCTGTGAAACTTTATCAATATCCTTCTTTCGAACGAAAGAAGAAGGCAGTAGACAATCTTCTGATTCCGATTTTTTTAATTTCTTAAAAAAGAAAAAACAAAAATCTGGAAAAATTCCGAAACACCAAGTGAGATTCACGAATCGTACGAAATTGCAGCTAAAAAAATAAATTTGTGAAACTTTATCAGCTTTCCTCCAACACCCTTCTTTCGAACGAAAGAAGAAGATAGTAGACAACCTTCTGATTTTGATTTTTTTAAAAAAGAAAAAACAAAAATCTGGAAAACTTTCGAAACACTTCGGAATCGAAATTTCCGATTTATTATACGAGAATCTTGCCGATTCTTGAAAATTCATAGAAGAATTTCCTCTTAGTTAGTCTGAAAATTGATCTGATTTTTACCCAAGAGCAAGTTCTTCCACAAACGCGATGCCGCAATCCGAGGCACCCACGACGACTATCTTCGAATCAACGACATTACCAAGCATCATGGACAATCTTGGCGTCGTCAAGAAGAGCGAGAAAGGTTCGGTTTCTTTTTTAGGTTTCCTGTCCGTTTCGATTAGATTACGATACCGATATTTTATTCTTCGCCGGGGATACACGGGGATCATTACGGTCAAGCATATCGCCAGGGGATGCATACGTGTCTGAAAACGATGTGACGACATATATTCTTTTCTTTTATTATCAATTGAAATTTTGTGATTTCATAAGGTATTGATTTCAAATTTTTTTTTTTTTTTTTTACTAGCGTGCTCAACGAACTCTCCTCGAGTCGATAGTAAAAGACAACGAAGCCGCTCAGACGTGAAATCTCGCTGATGATGTATGGTATGTGAATGGAGAAGATTGGCATTAGGATGAAATGGAGGATACGGGCGTAAGCGTTGGGTGGGATATTTTGTATCGCTATGTAATCCTCGATGTGATAACGTCGCTTGATGTACGAGGTCTCGTTCTCGGCGCTGGTGTCGAATTCATCATTTCAAACTATTTTTCTCTCAAAAATTTCGTAGAAAGAAAAAGGAATAAATTTCCTTACCAAATAATTATAAGACCGATAATTATGTTGTTCCACTTGAAGATGTAAGAATACATGTCCGATCGTTTCTTAATCGTCGCTTTATCGAAATCGTGCAGAACGTACTCCGATTTTCGAATCCTTTTTAAAAATCTCTTCAATAACAGCTTGTCGAGAGGCTTGCCAGCGCGGAGCGATATCTTACCCAGAAGAGCGGCACGATGCGTTACATACAAACTCATTGGATAATCTTTGTTGCACTTCGGAGACACCCGCTGTTGAAAAATGTACGCGATCGATCAATTTCGATTATAATATACATAAGCTTATCGTTGAAAAGGAATCGAATTTCGTACCACGAAATGATGGAGCAGAGGGATGAAAACGTGATTGGAGGGCAAAAGGATCACGCAATATTCCAAATCCGGAAAGCTCTCGAACGCGGCCTCGATGAAATTCCTGCTTTCCCGAAGTTTCATTTTCTGTTTCATCGCGTAAATCTCGAGAACGAACGCGTTCACTTGGCCGTGGTAAACCGGCTGTTCGGGAATATAGATGTCCTCCAATTGTATGTCCTCGATTATGCTGGTAACCATCGTCTGTCCTTCGTTTTAAAAAAAAAAAAAAATCATTCTCCTCCTCTTTTTCTTTTTCTCTGCTCTTTATCAACTCACGTGGAACGTGGAACAACGACTCGACGAACGCGCTCGACTCCATTTTCGACTCGTAGTACATGCTAAATTGACGAGTTATCCCTGCAAGATCATTGATGAAACTTATCGTCGACGGATCCATCTTTTCATCTTTTATTTCCACCGGTTGTTCTGTAGCCTGTTCTGCGATCTCTTCCACGCTTTCTTCCGGAGAAATTATCACGGAGGATCTAACGCGGTTCGAATATTACCAAAAGTGGGGCTAGTGGTTAGATCTACCGAAGACAAATTGCCTATAAATACTGTTATCCGAACCCTTCCGAATCAATATCCCAAGATTTCTTTGTGAAAAAGGAGAAGAACGTCTCGCTGTCAGGCCTCATATATTCCTCCGGGAGTACATCTTTCTTGTGGGGTTTTTTAAGGCCGTTGTACGGCACCAACTGGAAATTGTTGATCAGTGTGTCCACGTCTATGTTCTTATTAATGAACATCACACCGGTTGCCCTGTCGTCCTCCTCGGAGATGATCAATTTTCGACAACCGTCGGGGTTACGAACCATCTCGCTCACGTAAAATTCACCGTAAAACTCTTTCAACAGAGGCGTTTCGGCGTCGATGATCGACACCACGTCGTCGTTATCCTCTTCCCTGTCGCGTGATCGAGAAAATGGAACGGAAATGATATAATATTATAAATATTAAATTCGAAAGGAATTTAAAGTTTTTAAAATAAAAATTCAAACTTTTCCACTTATATTTCTTTTTCTCTCCGAAAATGCACTACAACGATTCAAAGATCGTTAATTTTCCGATCAATATTATTTAACGATCCTTTGATCGTTATAAATTAGTAATAGAAAAAAAAAAAAATCGCTCGTTTAAAAAGAAACTTACACTACGCGGCGAATTTTCAACCTTGGTTTTTTCAGAAAACGATCGCTCATGTACACGGATTGGTACGAGGGATGGTCATTCTCAGAATTTAACGGAATCCTGATCATCTGTTTCTCGAAAATGTCGTCTGCAATAGTAATAACGATAATGAACGATGAATAACCGAGAGATCCATCTATCTATCTATCCCTATCTATTTATCTATCTATCTATCTATATATATATATGCTCACTGAGAATGATCCGAGGAGGAATCACGATGAGTACGTATTCCAAATACGAGGTGACATCGAACAATCCGCACAGGAGTTTTTCGAAGAAGTGGCCGGTGTATCGGCTGTCCCAGACGAGCATGTGCACGAACATCGAGTTCTTTTCCGACACTTGTTGCGGCCTTTTTCAAACGAAATCCCGATAAGCAAACATCTCTCTCCTCCTCCTCCTTTTCCCCCATGTTCGAGCCAAACAAGTGTCCGCTCCGTTTACCTGTACAACGCGTACAACCAATTTATCCAATCTTCCGGAATCACCGACGGCACGTTCGGATAATTGCAGATGCAGATGCCCGAAACGATCTCGCCTCTCTCGTTCCACTGCACCATCGAGTGACAACTGGTTTCGCTGCAAATTATCAACGTCCCCCATCCCCCCCTTCCCGTTACCTCCTTCTGTATTTATTTTTTCAGAAATTTTTCGTACGATTACACACGGCTACAATACAACTCAGGCGAGAGACATTACAAGATACGTTCGATGTTCAAGTCCCCGAAAATTTCATACGTTTCCGGCCGTATCAATCGTTCCACGTTAGGCAGATCGGCGTGCTCCATTGCCCTCGAGCCGATGATCTTCGCCGCCGGTTCCTTACTCCTCTTGCCGAGGAAATATTGCTCCGGATTGCCGATCCATATGTTCATCATGTTGCACAACCAACGGATGGATAAATCTTTCGAAAGAAACCGAAATCTATCTCTCGATTCACTTCGAGCGATCGACCGATTTAAATGGTGGATAATTAGCTTTGGGGACTATATTCAGAAGGGAAGGGAGAAATAATAAATCGATCGACGGGGAGGAAGCAATGATGAACCGATGAACGATCGTTGATGCAACGATTGCATAGAAAATGGAAGATTTATCGATCGAAGATGGAATAATCGTGGGAAAAAGAGAGGCTTACCGTATGCGCCCAATAAGGCGACCGACTTTAATGCCCGCAAAAAAGGTAATAACGAAACTCCTCGAACGATTTAAACGGAGGGGCAAAGTAATTGCTTCGTGTTCTCGCTGCTCGCTAGTACCCTTCTTGTAACTCGGCTTTCTTCTCGTCCAAGTGTTAAGCCACGTTCACAATGGCCTCGCTCGATCTTCGAGAGGAAATAACGAAAACAGAAGTGATCGACGCGTTCGATGAGGCGTAAAAAAAAAATTCGAAGAAATTCGGTTTTATTAATTTTTGAAAGGCGAGCGTAGAAAATAATCGTAGAAAAATCGCAACAAGAAATCCAACCAAGCAAAAAAGTCAAGGACTTTTTCTTTCATATTTCTTCGAAAAAAATTCGTGTCATAAATGAACACGTTTTAAATATTCAAATTTACAAAAGAAAAAAGAAAGGAAAAAAATTGAATCGTAAATTTGAATAAAGAGAATTGAAATAATATGCAAATTATACGAGAATAGAATCGAAGTTAACTAGTTCGAATGAACGATCAAATTGTTTTTCCGGTCGCAACGTGCACGCATCGCGAAATCCATTTACGTTGCACACTTGGTGCTGGCAAAGCGACTGGCACGTGCTCGATCCGCAACGCAATCGACGATAAACCGACACGACCGTTACGATACATTGCTTCGCTGCAGTTTTCGTCCGTTACATATCCTAAGTCTTCCCCGTTCATCGAGCTTAAAAGGCGATATCGATTTCTCTCGGGCACGGTGGTAAATCAAGCTTCACCAAGGACTCGGTAACGATTCGCGTCATGCAACAACAACGGCTTGTGTCACGATATGCAGCCTCAAAAATGCACACCTGGCTCGAGCCATTTTGGCACCCAGGCCTGCTTTTCGAGGCGGACTTACTTTTCGCTTTAATTTGTCTATCTTTTCACTTGTTGTCGTTACTAAGTTACGAAGTTAAATATAAAGAATATATATCGTTACATTTTTCGTTTAATTGTTTATATATGTATCATATTTGTTGATTTAAATTTTTTATGATCTATTTATGAGCATTTTTATTTCACTTTTATATTTATTTGCTTTTAATTGTTACAGTTTCTATAATATAATTGAGATTTTTTCTTGTATCTTTTTTTTCTTTTTTACCATGAAATATTTAATATTGCGCGATGATCGATTGCGGATTCGTTTAAACTATTTAAAATTAAAAATAAATAATTAAAAATAATTGAAAGAATGGACGATATTGAAGATAAAAAATATCGTGCATACGCACAATGCAACGATGGTTTGATTATTTTCAGATTTATCGATAATCAATCTCTTCTGTTCGCTTTTAAGAACAGAATTGCCAACAGAAACCTCTTCTTCGTAAGTTTCTAATTAGCTCGACTGGAGATCCGCCGACTGATTACAAGCCGTGAGATCGTCGCCGAAGAAGCGCGGTGTACACAGAAACGGGCTTTTATTAATAACTGCAAGAAACGCGGAAGCATCGGGCCAAGGATTCTTTTTCCATCCGCGCTGATGTTATGATTCGTGAATCGAAAAAATTCTCGCGATAATTCAACGGGAATAGCTAAATCAGCGAGATCGATACTAGATTCGTTTGAGAAATAACGCGCAATATGGACCATTGAACACGCAACGACTCGTAACGAGTTTTATTACGTCAGACCAACCACTGCGTGTACGAATTTCCGACTTGCGAAACCGACGCAGCTCCTTTACTTTTACTCCGCCAATGTTCCCACAATTCTTCGAGTATCCGCAGTTACCCAGCAACGCATGAATCAACGCGATACGAATCAAAGGCTTGGATTTTTTGCCCCGGGAAAATAATAATCCAAGTTTTCGCTTCGCTGGGGATGCGTTTCGCACGATTTTTCGAATAATATGTTCATTCGATTTGGTAATACGTCGCAGTAAACGTGGTGTGTCATTACGTCATTGGTCTTCTTATCTATATATATTCAGGTATAGTAAGTTAATTAACGCGTTCGATGGAGTGTGGAAGTTAGTGAGTCGAGACTAATTTTATTTGTCTCGAAAACGTTCTAAATATTCTCTCTCTTTCTCTTCGACAATTTAAATTATCTATTTCGATCTAATCGTTTTGATTTGATAACGATTAACGTGGTATAGTGTACATACGTATATATACTTGATCTTAACACGAGCTATAAAGAAAAAAATTAATCTTTACTCAATTAAATATTATAAATAGAGTCTCAAACCTCGTCGATATTGTATATATACAATCGTATTCGAATTTCCAGAGCTTGAGAAAAATTGATTCTATCTTACCTGTTGATCTCTCTAGGTCGGTTTGTCGTTTCGAATAAAACAAACGTTGACACCCTCACTCAGTGGCGGTGCGCACCAGACTGAGATCAAGTAGCGGAGTTTCGAAGATCGGGCAGCGGTCTGCAACTGCAATGTAAAAAAAGTTCAGAGAGGAGGAGTGGGGAACAGGCTGGGAAAGTAAGTTACTTACCTACCATTAAATGGATTCGAGTCGAAAACGAGAAGTAAACAAATTCTCTTTGCATCTCTTTAAACATCTTACTTTCTCTTCCTGATTTTATTTTATCTATTAATTTTGGTTTGTTTTTTTTTTTTTTTTTTTTAGATATCTTTTTTAACATCATTGATTATCGTTGAGTGAAATTATACAAAAGGAGGACATAAATTGCATTTTGAAACGTGACGTTTATTCGCATTTTTTTTTCACTTTTGACGTTTGTTTAGTCTGCATCTGATTAAGTTAAATTAAGAAGCAACGAAATCATAGGAAATCTAAAATTGGCCGCGCTGTTGGTAACTACATACGATAATGCGCCCTTCGCTTAGTTCGTATCATTCGCGTTCGAATTGCTCTAATTTTACAGACGTGCAGAGAATAATTTGCGAGCTAAATCGTAGCTAGAAATTCTTCCTATTGATATTGTACACGTGACCAATCAGGATATTGAAGTAAGGATGACGCTTTAAAAATATAAGATTTATTACATATGCTCAAATCTTACAAATAAGACTCCGTACAATCGTTATTAAATGTAATATGATAAGTAAACAATGATTTCCAATAAATTAGAAAACTTATAATTTTCGCTGTTATCTAACTATCACAGATGCTTATGGATTTAACTCGAAACGACAGAGAAAGTGATTAAAGTTAAAAAGAAAAAAAAAAAAAATTTGCATATATCCTTGATAAAGTGAACGTATCTGGAAGAAGTAAAATACGCGCATTTGAGATAGAAAATAGCATATGTTATATTTATTATATATTAATTTGATACCAAAACTGATCATTTGACTATATTCTATTACGTGTAGAATTATGTGTTTGCTTTCCTCTATCGATTTCGAAAAAAGGTTAATCGTATTAATATCATAACTTTATTATTGTTATAACACGAGAAATGAGCTTACAAATTACTTACGATAATTTCCGTATGCAACTTATATGTATATATATATATATATATATTTATATATATATATATGGAATATCTCGTGTACTTAACACTTATACATTTATATCTACTATGATTTTATGATCATATTATTATCATTATCTCTCACATTATCACCTTTCATTTGACGATGAAAGCTCAAAGTAAAGTATTTCGCATATTCAATAAAATACACGATAATTCGGTTGGTCGTATCCAGGGACGTTTATTCTGTAATGCGATACGAGCGATACGAACTTTTCAATTTAAATCAATGGAATATATTGATTTATAGAATAGTAGAAGATTATAAAATGGAAGAATAAGCAGAATGAGTGCACGGAAGCTTGAGCGTTGCTTATGTTCGAGAAAGTATAAAAGCAAATCACATGTATATAATTTTTGATTCTAACCAGTAGGTATCATAAGAGAAATATTCTTATAAGCTAAATTTAAATGGTAACGGAGTTTTTCTCACGATGGAATTCCTTATTGTTTTTTTTTTTTTTTTTTNTTTTTTTTTTTTTTTTTTTTTTTTTTAACAGACTTCAACATTATCGAGAAACGTTTGAAGTAAATCGTATCAAATTACTGAAATTTGAGCGACTTACAGGAAACGAAACTTTTTTTTTTTTAGGCAAGATATTCGGAGATCGATATTTTATGACTTTAAATTTTCGACTCTTAACAGTTTATCATTTATTAAAATTATTCGTCTTTTCACCTATCTTCGTTCACTCCGGGAACATTGTCTTCAGCATCTGCCACTACCCGTTGTTCGGTGGGGATAATCTCGTTGCTTTTGTTTTGCGAATTCTCAACTTTATACAATACATCGTGGCAAAGTGGACAACGATCTTGAACGTACAACCATTTTCGCAAACAGACGCTATGAAAGTAATGATTGCAACGCGTGATCTTGGCACTTTGCATCTCTTGATAACAAATAGCGCAAACATCATCCAGCATTCGAAGCTGCTCTGCCTTTGCTTCGGGCAGAGAATTGATTTTGTTAACGGCTGATCGACGTTTCATGAACACGCTCCAACCGGCTTTTGCTTCGCACCATATATTAAAATAGGCATGGATACATATCATAATGGCTCGAATTGCTCCACCAGATTCGAACACTAACATCCAAAATCCGTTGAAGAAGAGAATAATACCAAATGTAAATTCGACCGTATTACCGAAAGATCGTATTATATATACGCAATCATCAAGTTGTTCCCAAAATACGCTACGATAAGCATCGATCAGAAACAAAGAGTAGATAGCGAGCGAAACTAGCACTTTTACAATCACTTCGATACTAAACACCGATACCGCAAGTAACCACGTGTTTACAGTATAATGGGACCAAAGATATACTAAGAGTGACACTGGAAATAGTATCAAAAATACGCAAACTGCCAAAGCACGAATATGTCGATGAAGTGCTGGATTATGCGAAGCGCTGAGTGACATCAAAAGTGGATTTACGATATTGTGGACAAAATGTAGAACAGCCGTAAACAATAAACAAAAATTACGACACAATCTGACCAAACGTTTCTCTCTATCCAAACTTGTTAATCCAGTTTGCAAGGCCAGCACATAAAATAAAATTGCGGACACAGTACCGATACTCTTCTCGTCTTCGTCTTCCGTGAGCAACACCCATTGAAAGAAACATCCGATATAATCGCAAATAAATGAAATTATACTTGTCATTCCCAAGACGGCCGTCAATGTTTCGCAACCATTGACTAATAAACTTCTAATCATTACGTAATAGGTAAACGTCTCTTCACCGTAATGATTTCCAAGGATCTGAAACACTTGTCCTCCAACTCTTAGCATCCAAAACATACGTAATACACACGGAACGTTCAATCGGATCCATTCGGTTTCGGCAAGTGCGGATAAACCGTAATTGCTTATGAAGTTACGTGCATGTTGATAACCCATATAAATCGTGTTTAACATAGTAATTCCATTGTACCAAATAACAAATTTACATACAGCTAATGGAAGAAGAGCTGCGAATACTGGCACATGATAGAGAACTTGCGTCTGAAAAGTTATGAATATTTAATAATATGTACATAAATGTAGAAATGACTTATATTTTATACGTGATATTTGAAAATATGAGAAACATTATATAATGTACATGTATATCGAAGTATTCTATATACAAATATGTAAATATAAAAATCTATTTTTCAACATGCAATTGTTTTTAATTGAACTACGTCGAAGCATATTAGCAATTTAAATCGATTTAAATTAAATTGAAAATAAAGTTCTCGAAAGATCGCTTCATTATTTAAATCTTTTTCTTTCTTTTCCTATTGTTCATAATTATTCAATAGAGATGTTATAAAATGTATAATTAAAATTCGTGATAAAGTAGTTTTGAAAATGTATTTAGAAATATGAACTTCAACTTCATAACTTACCGGCAATGGACAAATGCCCAAGATCGGCGGTGCCATAAAACTTAATACAAGAAGTTTTTGCAGAATCGGATGTCTTGGTGCAAGATGAATATAACAAAAAATGCTAGCTAATAAGCATTGTAGTACATAATTCTGAATTATTAAGAAACCTGGTCCTTCGTCTAAGATATATTTTAAATCAAGAGTCAAAATATCATCAAGTATACTAGTTGTGTATTCACGTTGTGTGCTCACATATGTAATAATAGCTTTCATTGTACTAATATTTGACCAATAGGATATAAATATTGTCCCTACTGATATTAAGTATACATATACAATTATTAGATGTTTTGTCCATAACATAAATATGCATATTGCAGCTATATATCCTGAAAAATAAATATTTAACAATGAACCATTGATTTTTATTTTAATTTTAACTGTAACATTATTTCTATTTTTATATTTCTTATTTTTTAAAACATTTAAAATTGCAAAAGAAAAAAGAATAAAATAATTTTTAACTTTTTATATTAATTCTTTATGATTTATAAATTAATGGTTTATATATACTTTAAGAATGCTATATTATAAAGTTTGCTTCTTTTTAAAATATACTAATCTATTGAAATCAACTTTATAACTTTGAATATAAAATTTCTATAATAAATTTTATTATTTTGAACCTAATTATATTATAAACAATATGTTTTATTTTTCATTAAGTTTAAAAAAAAATTTATCTCATTCTCTAATAAAATAAAATTGCTAAATATCTTTGCTTAAACAATAAAATATATTATATTCAAGAATCTCTAAATGTATATAATATCTTACCCAAACAGCAACATAAAAACTTCAATGCCATTATAAAATGCATTTTATAAGCAAAATATTCAAAGTCAAATGGTTGTAACAATGAAGTAGGTATTATTGAATTTACAATGCTGTCTGAAACTCTTGATATCTTAAAACCACGTTCTGTGCTATAAAGCACTACATTGTCATTGGATAATCCAAGTCCAATTCTAAGTAATTCATCTATGATAAATAAAGGTGGAACTCTAATCATAACATCCGCAAAAGTAAGTAGTTTTTCACGCATTGATGTATCCATTATTTTTTAAATTTTTATCTTTTGTAATAGATTTTAAAGATAATATTTTATCCTTATAAAAATTAATGATTGAATTTTTCCAAAGCAATTTAATTCAATTTGTTTAATACCTAAATATAAAAAATGTTAAATTTATAGTGTAAATTAAAGTGTAAGTTAAAATTAATTTTCTATGTTTAAAAAATTATTAATGTTAAATTATGTACAAACTTACCTTTGAAATTATAAAATTCACAGGTATCATATTCTCGAAATACGAGTTTAATTAATAATTGGAATAATTTTTGTCATTGAAAAGCGACTAAGTCAAAACATTCTAAGAATTGTGAACTGTAATTTGTTTATAATTAACAAAGGGAAGTAACGAAAAAATGATTTAGATAACGATTTAGATAAAAGGATATTGCAGAAATCCAGAAGTATATAGCAATAAAAGTTTGTCGATTATTCTTCCCTAGTTGCTGTTTACAATGTGAACTGAATCGTTTGTAGATATTATTAATAGGATTTTATCATAGTGCGAGAATATTGCAACAACAGGCAGAATACGTAAATTTTTAGCCCTCGAATTTCTGTCAAAGGTCTTTTCTTTCTACTCACTTCTACTTATAATTCTTAATATCTATTATTCATATACGATGACAATAATAAAAACACTTGATTGAGGCGAGATTTAGATTAAACTACGTTTTTAAAATACGCGTAATTTTCTCTAACGTAAAACACTGTTACGTATACTTTGGAGGTTAAAGGGAAACATGCACGGAGAATTTGAACGATTTGATCAGATGGCGTTACATTACTTTAACTTTATATCTATACACTAGTATATATATGTATGTATATATATATATATATATATATATATATATATATATATATATGTACATCATATTTGATGTAGTTTATAATTTATAACAAATTTTAATAATATATTATATATAATTATATCTATCAAATTAAAAACAAAAAATATTGTTGTATTATCAATATTACTGCATTATATTATTAATTATTAAAATCATTTGAAAATAAATTTATAAATAAAAATAAAATAAAAAAGATAGAATGTTGTTCATAAAATTATGATTTTAAATTGATTACTAGATATAATATATACTATATCATTCACTATTAAATAGGAAATATAGTATCAAGTAAAAATAATGTAACGATACATGCAAAATCATTATTTTTCTTCAAATTATGTTCTACCTACCACAAATCACATGCTAAATACAAAACGTACATGCAGTAGAAAAAGATATATATATGTTCACAATTATAGATTTAATATTGATAATTTTATTATGCAAATTCATAATTTTATTGTTAATAATATCATTTACTCTCTTTATCGTTCGCTCACGAAAATAAAAGATGGTGATTGTAATGATAAGATACTGATAATAAAAGAAGGAATAGGAATGAGGAGATTAAAATCAAATTTCAATTGGTTTTGGAAGCATATTATCGATTTTAAATGAAAGCAATGCAAATGCATTTTTAATAACGTTGAATATGTTTTTTTTTGGAGGTACATCTTTTTTATATATAAAATTCATATTCCCCNACATATACATATATATATATATATATATATAAAATAGAAGAAAATTATGAGAAAATATAAAATTGTAAATAATATCTAAAAATTATAATACTATTTGAAAATAAAATTCACTCATTTCTTTCGTGTTCTTTTTTTATATATCTGATATATTCAACGTTTAAATGCATATGTTATTTTATCCCGAAATAAGATAAATAAATGATTATATGATTGAGGCTTCCTTCTGCTCTTTACAGGCATGCAACGAGACATACGTGCAGAGTACAGAATATTCATACTGTCATTCATTCAGAACTAGCTACCATATAACTTATCTATGTATATCTCGGCGCAGTGTTCATTCGTTTTTTCTGAAATATTCGAATCGTAATGCGCTTGCATATGCTATTATAATGCTACATCATAGAACAAGTGTCTTTTCATTTATAATTTCTATTGTAAATCCATACTCTTCATTTCGCCTTTATTCTGACACCGTTCTAATTATTTATGATAAATCTCATTGACAATGTTTGCGCTCGCAGCATTTAATTCGATTTTACTTTTATTATTTCTTTCTTTTTTTTCAAACAAATCAACTGCTATCTTGAGTGTAAATTGCCATTCGCTCTTGGAAACGTTGGCATTTTTGAGGCACATTATACGGTACAAAATAAACTCGGTAATCTTGAAGACATTCGAATATTAAATATATTAGTCGAACATTTTCAAGATTTTTCCAAGCGTTTTTTTAGAAGCAATTACGATCAGGTTGAATGAGAGTCAAAACCAGGAGTGAAAATTATTATTACTCGATTTCGACAGTTTTGCTCATTATTTTCTCATTTATGCTTTACATCATTCTTCTCACTATCTAGATGCCTTACGCTTTCTTCAAATTACATCAGTTCTGTGATCTTTTACATTTTTGTAACGTAAATTTCTCGTAAAGATCTGTACCGTGCAAACAGACGTAATTAATTTTGAAAATCTCGAAAAGAACTCAAATGTTTTTTTCTCGATTTGTTTTTTCCCGCTGAAAAGATAATAGAATACAATATAAAACAGACAGTAAAAATGACAGTATTCTTTACGCATAACATTCTATGGCACGATTCATCTTAACATCTGACAATGGATACCATAATTGTTCTTTTTACCTAATTGCGTGTTTTAGCGAGAAGAAATGAATTATAGAACAATAATTAAGAAAAATATGAATCAATCTTATACAGATAAATCTTATACAAATAAACTTTCGAATATTTTGAGTCTCGCTATTGGAATTTTGTTTCATTATATTTCACGCAAGACAGGTAAAAAGACTTATATGTATTCACTATAAAATCGCTAAATATGGACTAATAATACATGGTACCTTAATAAAAATAGAGTTTCAACATTCGGCTAGTAATACAATGACGTTTATTATATCACAACGAGACAGGTCCTGCGTGCCAAAATTCTACTCTGCTCAGCGATTTTTTTTATCTTCATTTATGTCAATTCGGATTGTCCGATGCACGGATGCAGCGATGATACGACCAGTTGTAAGGCATTTTTTAATATTCAAAATGTTTTTTGAAGGGATCCATACATACGAGACCTCCATTTTACCTCACATATCAAGCAAGCGGATACAAATTGCATTTTCTTTTAAATAAATTTTATACCTAGTTAGTTTAAATCAATATAATCCATTATTTTTGATAGTTTGCTATATTTCACTTGTCTCATATTCATCGATCCCGTTAGCATTCCATTTTACAAATATTAAAGAAAGATCTAACGGGAGCCCCGGGCTCTTCGTTGCATACTTCAAGTGTTTCGGAATATAACGGTTTCCGTAAAACTTTTTACTGCGCGAACAAGTATCATTTTATTCCGGTCATTTAACACGATTTGTAATTAATTATATCATCATGCTATCTAATTTACCGAACAGATCAAGTCGTCATCACCGTGACTAAACCTGCATAGCAGTTAACAAAACAAACAAGTTACGCAGAGTCCCTATAATAATAATAGTAATAATTATAATAATAATAATTATAATAATAGCAGTAATAATATTAATATTACTTAATTGTAAAAATAAGTCTACGTTTTGTTCGATTAGAACGAAGTTCACGGTTTCTTCGCTTATATCTTTTTGAAAACAAAATTACTATTACGGCTTATCAATTATGATTTTTTAATTTTTAATTTTCGTGCGTCTTTTCGCTTCCTTTTTATCGTGAACATTCACAATTGTCTAAATATCTTGTTACAAAGATACTGAATAATAGTCCTGGTTTGATACATAATTATTATATTTTATGCGTTGTATTGCATAAAATTATAAAGGTTATTTTTTTTTTTCTTTTATTATTGCTTTTACGTTAATATAGAAATAGGGCAACTAAATTTCTTAAATGTTTTTTCCTTTTTTTTTTGTTAGACACATGAAAACTACGTTGCAAGAAACGTGGTAATATATAATATTTTTAAATTAAATTGGACTTCGAAATTCAGCGCATAAAATACCTAATTTATTATTTCTGATATTTAAAACTTAAGACTTAATATCATTTGAATAAGAATATGATTAATGATTAATTGAAATCATTTAAAGCGCATAATTTAAAATAGTTTTTTATATCACGTGTGTTTTATTTTTGGCCATATAGCAGATCTTTCGGAGAAGTAATTAGAAATTAGGAGATGGGAGAGAACGAATCTTTTAGAACTGTTTTAACATAGCGATCATATATATATATATTTTTTATATAAAATTATATGATTGCTTGTATTGTAAGTCGTTTATTTGCTTGTGACTCAAGAATTCTTATCTGTACACGTGAAAATTATTAATTCTAATTCTCAATCATGTACAATTTAAGTCATTAATATAAAGTACATGTCACTAAGATAATTTTTGCTATTGGTTTTCATCGATAAAAAATGTCCAATTTTATTCACCTTGATCGCAATCGATAATCCGCGCGTATGTTTCAATCACAAAATCGAATTTTATTTCCCATAAATTTTACGAATGTTGACGTTATATTCCGCTAAAATATATATATATATAATATATATATATATTATTCAGCACATATTTAATTTACATAAACTCTGCAAGCGCAGCTTACCATCGTCAAATGCACTTTTTATTTTATTTTTATTTGTGTACGAAATCGCTGCTTATATGTGTAAGTGTATAAGTGTTAATAAGTTGTCAATAAGAAATATTAGAAAATCTGTATTCCACTTATAGTTACCACAACTTTTTTATATTTCTTTATTGAGTTTTTTTATTTTTTTTATTTTTTTTATTAGAAAGCGGCAACTGACGAATGGTGCTTTACACCTATATCATTTACTGTTTATCATTTAGTGTATACAATGCATTGATATTAATTTTTCTCCGAACTTTTAGTAGACGATGAATTTATCTTGTCTTTTTATATTTTGACTCGTATCGGCGAATATTTGTCTTTAACTGACATACCATAGTATGAATATGTGATATTTCATTCAAAAAAATAATGACAAGAATATAGGCTTACTATTTAATATTTTTTTAGTAGGTAATAAAAATAAAAGACTAATTAAAATTATCAAAAGCTCGGATTTTTTTTTATATATTTGATAGTATACTTTAAATGCAACAATTATGAAAATACTAACATCAGCAATAGATTTGATAATTATCAGGAGTTGTCGATAAAAAAAAAAATTTATTTTGAAGTAATTAAAATTTTACTGCGCAAAAACTTATTGAACAAAGAATATTGAATTAATTAGAATAAATGAGCTGTAGATCTGTAATCTTATTGGCACATATAATCATCCCTATATTTAATTTTGCATATCTAGGCATTTTACTTGAAAAATTATTAAGCAAAGATATATAATTACGAGGATACATTTATCGCATCTAGTAACTTTTAATTCTATGCACTTGGTCCTACTGATGCATTTTCTTTTACATATATCATTCCATACGTAGAAAAATCACCTATGTTAAAAAACACTTTAAGTTGTATGGTATCAAAATTTCTATGATACAAGCAAACTGAAAGTATTAATCTTCTATTAAAATAGTTAAATAATAACCGCCAACACGAGTCTATTGATTGATTAAACTGTACATTTTTTTTCATCAATAGGCAATGATTCCGTGCATTTTATTTTAACTAGCGGAATTTAATAGTTTGGAGAACT